TGATCGTTATTTTTAAAGTTTTTAAAATTATTTTGACGTAACTGGGCTAAAATAATTATTGCTAACATGTTTAAATAAAACTTCAGTGCAGATGTACCTAGACAGGTGACAATTCATAATCGTTATTTTTAAAGTTTCAATTATTTTTTGACGCAAATGGTTAAAAATATAGATTGCTAACATGTTAAATTAAAAATTTAGTGAAGATGTACCTGAGATAAAAGACAATTATCATAATCACTATTTTTAAAGTTTCTTGACTTTTTTGAGGCTAATGGGTAAGAATATAGATATTAAACCCATTAGAGATTATTTAGAGCAACAAACAACATCGGTTGCCAGCGAAATATCATTTTCCAGAGCTGCCGATACCCTTACGAAAAAACGAAATAGAATGTCGTCTACAACTCTCAATCGCCTTTCATAAATTCATGATATAAATATATTAAATTTAACGGAACATTTTTGCAAATAAATAATATTTTAGCATATTTCATTTATATATTATATAAAAAGTGTATATTATTTCATAAATAATGATTATATTTAGTAAAAAAATGCATCCTTATTTAATTTTTTTCAAAATTTCAAAATTAGTTTTATCGAAGTCAGATATAAAATAGATATCTTAACTAAATGGTCTTTAATAAACAAAATTATGTGTACTAGGATTCTGTAATGAACTAAACTCTAGCAATAAATTCCTTACTGTTTTCTAATATTTTTGATGAGTTAGAAGCTAAAATATTATACAGAGAAAGAATATTAACACTTGTTTCTTATAAGAATTGAATATATCAAATTATTTAACAAAATTTTATGTTATCTCAATTAAAAATTAAGTTCGGCAAGGTTCTAAATTTTAAAAAATTTATTAGGCCCTAACCGAAATTATTTTTAAAAAATATAGCTTGGGCCGGGGGTATTATAGAGTTTTTAATATATTTACTTTAAGCACGTGAAATTTTAATTTAACATGTCTACAATCTATATTTTTGCGCATTTGCGTCAAAAAAATTTAAAAGATTTAAAAATAACGATTATGACAATCGTCACTTATCTATAGTACATCTTCACTGAAGTTTTATTTAAAAGCAATACTTATCTTAGCCCGTTTACGTCCAAAAAAAATTAAAAAACTTAAAAAATAACGATTTTGATAATTGTCACATATATATTGTATAATTTCACCAAATTTTAAAACCTATTTTTACCCATTTGTGTCAAAAAAAATTAAAAAAACTTTAAAAATAACGATTATGACGATTGTCATTTTTATAAGGTACATTTTAATTGAAATTTTAATTTAATATGTTAAAAATATATATTTCTGCCCATTAGCGTCAAAAATAATCAAAAATGTTTAAAAATACCGATTATGATAATTGTCATTTTTTCAAGGAACATCTTTATTGAATTTATAATTTAACATCTTTACAATATAAATTATAATTTACCTTTTGTGTCAAAAAATTTCAAAAATGTTAAAAAATAACGAATGTGACAATTGTCATATTAAAATATTATCCTTAAAAAGATATCATATAAAATAAATAAAAAGGTTTAATATAAATTAAAAAAAAAAAATTATTTAGAAAAAACCACCTCCTTTAATATACTTAAAAAAATAGATAATTTTACAAAAAATATAAAAAAAAACTAAAAAGATTTTACCTAAAAGATATCATATAAAGTTACATAAAAAATTTTAATATAAATATTTTAAAAAAAATTATTTAGAAAAAAGCACCTTATTTAATATACTTAAAAAATAGATAATTTACAAAAAGATTAAAAAAAAATTATAAGAGATTTCACCTAAAAGATTGCTTATTTATATTAAAATTCGTAAAAGAATTTCTCAAAAAAGATTTATTTACAAAGAAGATTTAAAATTCTTATAAAATCAAAATATGTTTAAAATCTTTATGAACTTCAAAAAATATTTTTTGCTTAAAATTTTGAGCTTAAAAATCAATAATAAATTGTAACAAAAATAATATTACAATATAGCATATCATTTTTTTTATTAAAAAAACATCAAATAAATAAATCCATTTTCCTTCATTTCATAATATATTAATATAAATAAAAAAAATTATATCATATATGTTTTTTGTTGATAATAATAAAATATTAACATTTGTTAATATGGTGCCAAAAGTTAACAAAAGAAAAGTAAGAAACTGCGTTTATTGAGTTTATTATATTTTTGCATTAATCTTAAAAAAACTAACTAAAATCTATCATAAAAAATAAGGTATATATATCTTTCATATTAAATACAAATTTGATTAAACAAAAATAAAAAGTATCAAAATATATTACAAAAATATTTTAAACAAAAGCAAGGTTACAAGCTAAAATAATCGTAAGTTTTCATTAACATATTAAATAAGGTTATATTCAAATAGTACCAATTAAAGTTATACAAAATATCAATCAATTTAAATATAAAAAATCAATTCCATTATTTAACAAAGTATAAATAAAATAAATTATTTTACTACAAAGGAATAAATAATAATTAATGCCGGTAGAACAATAATTCTGCATAATTATATTCTTAAAATGTCTCAATAACATAAATAAATTTCGGCTCTAAATTAAACTCAAGCTAACTCCCGTATTGGTTTGAGCCAAATTATGAGCCAGCCGACTTATATGTCTCAATGAGCTGACTTAAGCCTGCCAATTTTTCGACTCAAAACTGACTGAGTAAGGCTAAGCACAAATAAATAAATATTAGCTTTCGGCTTGAGCTAATTTCTGAGCCGGCTTGAGCCAACTCCTGAGCAGGCTTTTTAATATCATATTATCAATACATTTGAGTTAGCCATTTATAAAATTTTGACTCGAATGCAGTTGTTTTGCATAATACTTAGCGTTGTTAAACGGCTCAATTTGAGCCCATTTTTACAAACGGCGAACTCAATATTTTATTCAGAAAAATATTATGCAAGCCTAAAGATTTTGTTCATATATGGCACATAGGATTGAATACCTATTGGCGAAATCTCGACGCTGACAATATTTTATGGGTATAATGTTGAATTAGCCGTTTTTAAAAATCGGCTCAAATCAAGCCGTTTAACAACACTAATAATACATGTAAAAAAATAAATATCAAAAGTTATTAGATACTTATAAATAAAAAAAATAAAAATTGATCCGACCCAGTGAGCCAACTAAGTGAGCCGATTAAGGGAGCCGACTAAGCTACTTGACTAAGTAAGCCTACTAAGTAAGCGTAAGCCTACTAAGTAAGCGTAAGCCTACTAAGTAAGCGTAAGCCTACTAAGTAAGCGTAAGCCTACTAAGTAAGCGTAAGCCTACTAAGTAAGCGTAAGCCTACTAAGTAAGCGTAAGCCTACTAAGTAAGCGTAAGCCTACTAAGTAAGCGTAAGCCTACTAAGTAAGCCAAATAAGTAAGCCGACTAAATAAACCGACTAAATAAACCGACTAAATAAGCCGACTAAGTGAGCCAAATAAGTTAGCCAACTCTAAGTGAGCCAACTAAATGCGCCGACTAAGTGAGCCAACTAAGCGAGCCAACTAATAGAGTCGGCTCATGCGGCTCCTTGATCGGCTTGAGTGGAGCCATTTTTTACGACTACGACTCGACTTTCAAGCCTTAAGAACTCGATATTTTAACATTATACTTGTGGCTTCTTCCATATCATGAATAAAGTTTCATACGTTTTCTGAACTTATATTTGATGTTCTTAGAAATATCTCATCCTGCATTTTATTTTGGGCAACAATATTATAATTCTTTATTAGACTTTCGAGTTTTATTAGTTCCTATAAAATAAAAATATAAATTTATAAAAATAGAAATAAATTACTTCATTTTGTGTAAACTCACTTGATTGCAGAATGATTGAATGAGTTTAATTGCATATATGTATAAAATAAATATCAATAAGCCAAAATAATCGTGATGTAAAATTTAAAAAATTTATTTTAAAAAAAAATCATATGAAAACAGCTTAACCCAAAAAGTGCTCAATATTTCTTAACAGGATGAGTTTTTGTCCAAAAGGGTAAATATATTGCGAAATTTCATACAAGAACCAGTTCATTATCAAACTTCCCATGTTTTGGCAAATATGTCTTCGCCAAATTTTTTAAAATACATACAACTAATGTTGTTAAAATGCCCGATTTGGGTCGATTTTTATAAACGCCCCGATTAATTTTGGCCAAAGTAATATTATATAAGTATCGAGATTTGGCAAATATGTCTAAATCTTTCTGCCATCTATAAGAAAAATCTCGAGGATTACATAATATTATTTTGGTTACAATCCTATTTTTAAAAATCGACCTGAAATGATTTTTAATAACATTACATACCACCACGAGGTATCTTTTGCAAGACCATAGAGGTATAGTTCGCTTTCGATTAACTCTCAAGAATAAAAATGAGTAAAAAAACTAGTCTTTTTTAAAATGCACAAGTAAATTAATTTGTAGAATTTGAACCCTTTAAAATAATTTATACGTGATACGTGATATATAGCGCTTATGCCCTCTAGTGTTGAAATGCAACAGAGCTACGCTAGGTTTTCCTCATTTCCATCTTATTGGAACAGTTAAATTTGGGTGTAAAAGTTAAAATATGAGGAGCCCTCCACACGTTTGTGGGCAAGCCGTACGTACTTGTAGGCGCAACATTCCGAAAAATATTACTTAAACCTCTATAGGCTTATATAAAAGGGAATGGGACAAAAAAAGAGCCTATACCCGATAACTACAGTGAAAGTTAATTACGTTGTGGTGGGTTAAGGACAATTTACCATTAAAAATCTTTACTATATTAAAACACTTTTTGGTAAGTAAAATAAAATATACTTATGAGAGGATTAGGATGTATGATGGTATTGGGAAAGTTTGATAATGATGAGTAGTTTTTGAAATTTATTACTCTGGTAGTATACGATAGGATTAATGGGTGATGATAATGTAACATACATTCTGAGAATGTATTTTGTACTTATTGAAGGTAGCTTTTCTTGATGCGAAATAGTTTTTTAATGGATCTTTTATTGTTATTCAGTCTAATGAATTGTTTCATGTTAACATTTAGATCCATTATATCTTTTATGGTTTTATAGTACCATAATGATTTGTATTTTGTGTACTGTTTACCTTTATACGAGTACAGCCATGTTATGGCATCGTGGACTAAACTATTATCAGAGTTTCTTATTACATGGCCTAATAACTGGATCCGTCTTTTCCTAAGAGTAATATTCACTGGAGTGTGAGTAGACTTCCTCCAAAGATTCGAGTTAGAGATTACTCTTGGGTAGAAAATCCCGTGTATCGTACGCAGACAATTATTTATGAAAGATTGAAGCCGTCTGATCTCTGTTTTTTTTGCCTCCCAGATATCTCCACCGTATAATGCAATTGGAACAATCAACGAGTTGAATATTCTCAATCTAGTGAACACTGAAATTTCACTAGCTTTCCATATTTTCATATATCTGTAGAAAGCACCTCTAGCTTTCTGTATCCTCATCTTCATCTCATCTTTACAGCTACCTTTGTTATCCAAGATTACCCCTAAGTATTTTATATTCTCTACTATTTTCACTGTATTCGTTCCAACTGTAAAATCCTGGATTGAAGGCGCGTTTGGGGAGGGAAGAATAACCGTTTTGTTAAAGTTGATCCTAAGGCCAGCTCTATAGCTCACTGTCTCGATTAGATAAAGTAGATTTTTGGTCTCTTCGATACTTTTCGAAATCACTACAATATCGTCTGCATAGGATATTATCCTGTTAACGAAAAAAATTTTCTCGTTTGATCCTATGTCTACTAGATCTGCAGCTCCTAATACTTCTTTTATTATTTTATTGATGATTATGTTGAACAGGAGAGGTGAGAGGGTACAGCCCTGTTTTACTCCTTTCTTAATCCTGAAAAAGGGGGAGGTTTTATTATTTATTTTGAAACAAGCGAATAAATTCGAATAGTGATATTTCAAGATACGAATTATCTGGGTTTCAATACCACATTCTACGAGCGTTTCCCACAACGCTTCATGATTAACATTATCAAATGCTCTACTGAAATCAATAAATGTGTAAAATGACGGAATCTTATATCTATAACACTTTTGCATTATTATCTTCAGAGATAATATGGGTTCTAGTATATTTTTATTAGGCCTGTAAGCACAAATATATTTAGAAAAAAGATTGGGCGTCGAATGAACAATCTTATTCTTCATAAGTACCATAAATATCTTTGCAACACAAGATGTTAAAGCGCACGCCCGATAATCGGTGAATTTCAGGGGGTTTGCAGTTTTGGGAAAATTGCATATAAGGGACTTGTTCCATTCCGTAGGGGTGCTTCCATTTTCCCATATTTTATTGAATAGGGCTAGTAGAAAAGAAGATGTCGTTCTAGGTGCGATCTTCAGATGTTCCGCCGTAATGTTGTCAAGCCCCGGAGCTTTATTGTTTCGTAATTTCTTTATTACATTCATAATTTCCACTAAGGTGAAACCAGACTGGGGTGGAGCCATAATTATATTTACATTTGTTGCTCTAGTTACTTTACGTCCATCGAACACCGTAATATAGTAGTCGAGCCACAGCGCCATCTGTTCATCTTGATCAATTATTATTTTACCATCATTTAATACTATTGAGGGTACCTTCTGAAAACCGTTAGGTTTACAAAAATATTTTAATTTCTTATATGCATCATGTAGCCTATTTTCTCTTACGTCTTTGTCAATATCAAACGCTTTCTTCGCGCTATAAACCCGTCTATCTCTCCGCAGTAATCTTTGTATCATCTTCCAAAGATCCTTATTAGAGCTACACGCGGTTCTTAACTGGTTTATTTTCTCCAGGGTATCATTCGCCATCCACTCCTTCCTGTGGATAAGACTTACATCTGGCAATACTCTGTATGTATCGACTAGGGCATCTTTGAAAAGATTCCAACTTTTCTCAACGCTTGCAAGCCTAATAGTGTTGTAGCTGGCTTCTTTCCCGCTTAATATCTCATCAAAATGTCTTTCATCATCTAATGTTCTTATTTTACTCAGTTTGCGAGTTATTTCATTACACGGGGGAGTAGCGCTAGAACTAATCGAAATTTGTCTATTTCCGTTATGATACCCCCATAAATTTTTAACTATAATAATCGCTCTAAGCAGTCTATGATCTGACAAATTCATATTAGTTAGGGCTTTAACATCCACGAACCAACGATGAATATTCGAGATGAAGAAGTCAATTTGTGATTGCTGCTGCGCTCTTTCAAAGGTATACGTATTCCTATCCCTATGACTGAAAAAAGTGTTTTCAATTTTGAAATCTTTATTACAGCAGAAGTCAAGTAATTTTTTACTGTATTCGCTATTACTCTGTACTAGGGTAGCGTGCCCAGTGACGTTTCTATACATATATTCCGCTTCTCTGCCTATATCCATATTTAGATCTCCCAATATTATTATGTTATATCTCTCTGGTAAGGAGTGTATTATGTTAATCATTATATCTACAAAGGCTAATCGCTCGCTCCTTTTAGGTGGGACGTAGAAATTTACGATTATAGTAGGCTTGAAGTTCGTATGTAGGTATAGGAGCCCGCACCTTTCCGAGATGGGTACAAATTTCATGACGTATTTCTGCATTCTTTTATTAATAAGGAAAGCAATCCCTGACCAGCTGTTGGAGGTAGTACCCGAGCAAAACATCTTATATTCATTGAAATTAGCCATAATATCTCCAGGGTAGTGGGTTTCCTGTATGCCCAAAATGTCAATTTTCTCTGCCGTTAACATCCTTAACAGAACTGCCAGTTTATTCATTAATCCGTTAATGTTAAGAGATGCTATTAGGATCTTGCCTGTCAATTTGTTCTAAACAGAGTATTTACACATAAGATACTAGAACATTAAGAAGTTAATTATCGTGAAATTTAGGATATTGATGTTATAATTAAAAGATCAGACCATGGAAATGAAGATACAGCAAAAACAGTGCAAGATACCTAGTACGGTACCAGCTTATTCTAGGGCGTAAAGATTCTTAAAACTGGAAGAAAAATGAGTCATATCTAATGATATGTATAATGCATTAATAGGTACATATATAAAACAACGGTAACAATGATTATACTAATACGGACATGATAATGTAAGTCATTTATTACCATTAACGGTAATGATACGGATGTATTAATATGTATTAAGTTGAGAGTTAAAATTATACTACCGAGATAATGATAATTTAGGGAAATAAGATACAGATGGAAAACATACATTAATTTACTCTATCATCTATTTTTAATATTTCTGCTTTCTAATAATTTTATATAAATATTTATTAGTCATTCCTCTTACCTCATGTACTACCGAAGGGGTAATAAGTAAAATAAATTGCAAGATTACTGAACAATGAGTAAAATACCATATACTAGCACAAGGCTACGTAATACTGCGAAATTTTCGAAATAAATTAGTTTCACCATAAAAAATTTTTATTTAAACAATTAAGTATATGTAACATTTTAAAATTCATCGTTTTCTCTATCCTTAATTTACCTAAATTTTAATTTATCGGAACACCGATAAAGCTTATGAAACTACTTATATTCGATTAAAGAAAGGACGAAAAGATCTGAAAAAAAAAACAAAAACAATCGAACAATGATATATAGGGAAAATCTGCCTATATTAAATGCCCGTGAAAATGACAAAAGAGGAATTTAGAAGGGTATCCCACCAGACTTAGGAAAAGATTTACCGTTCTTATCGGTATTTTAGTTTGAAACCGAGAGATTGAAAACTGACTTGAAGGAAAAAAAAAAATTTTTAAAAACTATCGTTAACGTTGTAATTTATATTAGGTGGTAAAAACGTTCGAGCTAACACTATTTAAAATTAAAAGTTTGAAGAATGCATTTGCTAAGGTGTAACAAAATAAAATGAGAACATCGAAACAAGCAAACCTACCCTGATCTGGAAAGGGAGAGAACAAATATAAATCTTTAATACGGAAAACGGAAATACATACAAAACTGTATAAAGAAAAAATATACCTCCATATCTCTGTGCCCGTTTGGAAATCGAGTTGACGTAGACATTTAAATAGAAGAATATTTAAAATTTGAAGGGAAATAAAATTCAACTTAGCATATAACAAATAAAAATAAAACTTTACAAAACTTTTGTATAACCTAAGACTATGAAAAAGGAAATGATTAATGAATAATAATTAAAACAATAATATGGGGGCGAATACAGGGTGGGATTACCTAATCACATACAATAACAAAATTATGAATTATACTATCTCTAAATAAATAATAAAAAATTAATAACAAGTTGTAAAACCTTTTTCCGAAAAGCACGAAAGGGAAAATTAAAATGTTCAGAAAAGAGAGAACGATGACGCCTAATATTAGAAAAACTTATATTTTTAGAGAAAACAAGGAAAATTATATACCATTGGCGCCTAGAGTTGAAAATATGGGTATTAGATTAAATTTTTTATGGTCATTAGAAATTACGAGTAAACATAAATAAATTTAATAAATAGGCAGGAAAGTAAAATAAAGTACCGTAGTAAGAAGAACTTAACCTATTACAATGTGTAAGTTTGGATTCAATACAATTGGGTGAGCCACAAGATAAGGCGAAAATTCTTATAACAGTAAAATGAGTGATATAAAATTTTTGGAGAAAACTATTAAAGTTTTCTTATCTTTTAGATGATTTTTTAGTTTGTTTATAATAAACACCTTAAAAATAATAGAAACGATGAGATATACATGTTTATAGGTCTAAACAATATTAATTTATTTTCCAAAAAAAAAAACTATTATATCCTATTTCGTATTTTAAAATTGTTTACGAATTTACATATTTATTTTAAAGGAAAAGCTAAACCCAAATGGGAAACTAGAGAGAGACAAAAAATAAAAAAATAAAGGGGAAAAAATAAATAATTACTTATAAATAAAAAGGGAGGGAAAAAATCCAAGATGGTGACGGAAAGAATAAAAGTTATACAAGAAAGGGTGAAACAAAAATTATTAAAGATGGAGGGCATAAAAGTAAAAAAAAGTTTATATTGAAAGGGAAAAACGAAAACCAAGTGAGAAACTAGAAATAAATCAAATAAAAAGTAAAACTAAGTCATAAAAATGGGAGGAAAAATTCCAAAATGTAGGTGATAGAATAATGAATTATCTAAGGGGTAAGAACAAATTACTAAAAGATGGACAATAAATTATAGACAAGTATTAAAGGATAAGGGGGATAAAAAATTTAGTAGTACATAGAAAATGACCAAGTAAGACTAGAAATTAGTCAGGTGCTTGGTAAAACTTATCCTAAATTTGTGTGTACATAATGTAATTTCTGGTATAAAGTTTAAACTACTGACACACAATCTAATTATTATATTAATCTAAAGTAATATACATAAATGGATAAAGCATAGGTATATATATGTAAGAGGTATATATAGGAAAAATATACATGAAAATAAAGCATAAATCTGAAAGTAAATAAAGTCTATATACAAAAAATAAGCATAAATATGAAGATAAATAAAGTATATATAAGAAATTAGTGAATAAACATAAATTGCAAAATGAATAAGGTATATTGAACAAATAAGTAATTATAAGAAGTAAGTGAATACTAACCTGAGACATCAAGAAAAAAAGTTTGATAACCTAGCTCTTGTTCCACCATATACAAAGAGTTAGACTGAACCTTACATTGTCATCTGTTGATATCCTCTTACATAATTCATTGGTATTTACTCACAGTCGATCAATCCTTGTTAGTAATATTCTAAATTCATATCTCAGTAAAATTTGGTTTTTGAACTAAATGGGAGCCAAAACAATTTCATATTGTGATATTTTAGGTTGGGTAAATTACATCATCAACAGAATTATTTTTTAAAAAACCAATCCATATGGGAATATCAAATGCAATTATTTTTATTGCCGTGCGGTCGTATCATATGGGAATCTATAGATTTTTTGATGAATTCATAAAAAATTTTAAAAAGTCATGCTGATTTTAAAATAGTTCCTGATACATAAATAAATTAGTTAGAAAAGAGATCAATCCCTCCCTTATTTTGGGGTAGAAATACTAAAACACCGTCAATTCAAATAATTTATTTATTTTAAATATTTTATATCAGAAACATATGATAATTAAATTAAATTATTATATATTTAAATGCATCTGTTCTTTTAATTTTGAATTCAGGTAAAATGAGTTGGAAATCTGAACATGAAACTTATGGGATAGGTAATAATATAAATTGTTCAAAAATATAACAAAATTAGCGATTCATAATTATGACCAATCACGCCCATATTCATTAAAACTCTGGCGAGGGGATCTCATCAAAATTATTGAGTCAAACCAAGGTAATCTATTGATTGTTTGTACGTATTTGATAAGTTTCTTTTCAAGATTGGTTTAGAGGCAATAAACTTAACGATGAAAATAAAATTGGAGTATTTCCTAAATCCTTTATTATGATCAATGATAAAAAGAGAAATAAGTTATTTAATAATAAATAAATATAATAATATTGTATTATAATTATAGTGATTCAAGCTTAATAGCTGAAATAACTATTACAATTAAAAAATGGTTTGTTTGTTGGAAACAATTATACAAAGTTGAATATAAATATTATAAGAAATAATCACAAAATCATAGGAAAATAAGTTAAATCATTTTACAATGATCAAGATGATGATATATTTGTTAATTGATTCAAGAAAACAACTTTTATCAATAAACTTGACCAATGTTTTATTTTTTTGTAATATAGATATATAATTATTTAAAAAGGATGAATGCAACAATATTAAAGATATAATTTTAGCACATATTGATCTAGGAAATGGGTATTGATTAATATATCCCAATTATATATAAATATATATATAGAATATTAGGCTTACCAATAGTAATGAGGGATGAGCTCGGAATTCTGATAAACCTAGACACTATTAATATTATATCTTTATTGAATATAGTATATCATATTTAAAATGATAACAGTTTATATATATATATTATAGCATGTTAAAGAATCAATTTATCTCAAAAATCAAATTGTAAATATATTTAAATTATTTAATATAAGTATAAATATAGAAATTTATTAATGAAAATAATCAAATTTTATGCAATAATGGTCTTAGTAATATGGAGCAATTCAAGTTTTTGAAAAATTTTAAAAAGTTTCCAACAAAAAGTTTGGGAATTTATATGTATATATAATTTTTTGAAAGAATGTCTAGTCATATTGTAAAATCATATTAACCATGTCATGCAACTTTTTAAACTTGTTCAAAAGAGATAAATATTTTTTTAAATTTCTATTTTGATACAATGATTTAATAATAATTTGATAAAAAACTATTTTGTATAATTATAACTTTATACTTTTATATATATGCCTCATAATCTTTTTTTCATAAAATATATTTTATTACTAAAATATAGACATTTTTGTAAGTGGTCATATATACCATAATATGATAAAAAACATGCTTCTAGGTTATGATAGAAAACCTATAATAAACTCTGAAAATAAAGAGATTTAAAAAAAAATATTACTTGCAAGGTTTTGTAGTGAGACTGATGAATATATTTCAATAACCTGCAGTGGTTAAAATCTTAAAACTAGCCCAAATTTTTTTTACATTTTAAGGCTCGCATCTTAAAAAATTAATTTGGCTTGGCTCATTTTTTTAAGTCATTTTTAACAATTTTGAATCAGGTGCATAGCCATCAAGAGACCCCCCCCCCGCCCACACATAGCAAATTTTTTAAAAAAATATAAAAATTTTCATGATTTGCAAAGTATTTTTAGAAAATTTAACTTACATCATTTTTGGATCTGGAAGAGCCTATTTTGAATGCCCTTAGAGAAATATTAGAATTGGCTTAACTAGATACTTCATCTGATTCAGTTACATTATTAGATTGAATATGACATTTGATATTTTTGCATTGGAATGTATTAATAATTATTAAATTACACCAAATTTTTTGCAATATTTTTCAAATAAATGATATGGATTTGGCTGAAGATTTAAGAATCTCGAATATTATTATATTTCAAGAGATTTATGTGATTGTTGATGCAAAAACAAGATTATAGGATTTTGAGATTCACAATCACAGACTTGCACTTAGACAAACAAATGGTTCAAATATCAACGCAGATTCAATTGAGGATTACTCTAAAATAACCGTTTATATTCCACTTTTTGATACATTTTTGACTCAGATCAATGAACGATTTGTGATTCATCAAATGACTCTATCTAATTTATAAATTTTATTTCCTGTAAATCTATCTGAGGATATATTAAATCTCTATGTTGAAAAAAAATAAAAATTCCGTTAAATTTTATTCAGGATGTACATATATCAGTGGGCCTAGTAATTTCAGAATTTGAATCTTGGTAAGAAAAATTAATTTTGATAAATAATCCTTCAAGGAACGCAATGTAAGTATGACATACTTTAAAATATATTTTGGAATTTTTTCCAAATTTATTAAAATTACTGTATATTTTGTCAGCAATACCAATTAGTAACGAACAAATGAAGATCTTTTCTACGTCAGTGGATATAATAAAAACTTATCTACGGCATCTTAAAATTGATTGAATGGACTAGTTTTACTTAATGTACATCGAGATTTAATCCATTCTCAGAAACATTATTGAAAAATTTGCGCAATCGCAAAGAAGATTAAATTTTTATTTATGAACGATATTTTTATTAGCTTTTTAAATCATCATATAATGTTTAATTTTATTTTACTGTGTTTTAGATAGTTTAATGATACTTCTTGCCAAAGGCAGTACCGATCAAACGATATCTTACAATTTTTGTTATATATAGGCACTAACAAAAAATATTCAAGAACCTACATATTTTTTTAAATAAATATATTAACGGAATCACGTGGTCGAGTCCGATCTACTATATATAATCCTCCCAAGGAGGAACCACCAAGTTGGCTTAAGAAAAAAAACAGGATCTTTGCTAGAAACCAGAACCATCAGATTGGCAAGCGACACTCTTATCGACCAAGCCACAGACGCCTTCTAAAAATTAAGATTTTTAAAATATAGACAAATTTGGCAGTCTCTATGAAAAATAAACCAAATACCAATTCACTCGGTACAGCTTTTGGCAGTATTCATTATAACATTTATCTTTAAATCTGTGTTTCCAATATTTTATTTTGTGTTCAAAATTGTCATTTTTAATATGGTTTATTATAAATTATTTTCATTAGCTCAAATAAATTTTTTTTTGGAACAATTAAAATTTATTTCGATATAAAAAAAAATTATCCCCTTTCGTACATTCTGGCTACGCGGTTTAACGGAAAACTAAAATATGAAGTGGTAATATTAAACGATTTTTATATAAATTTCTAGCTGATTAATTCACGTAATTTAAATTTTTTAAAGGCCTAGCCCCAATTTTTAATAAAATCATATTTTTTTGGGCTATTCCGGGCTGGCTATCAGGTCTCTAAAATTATTTTAAGTTAATTTTAATTATTCTTTGGTTTTTATTATAAATTGCCTATAAAAATAAATTATAAATTTATAAAAAAATGTATATTTATAATTATTTTAGCCAGAGCTAAGGAATTTGAACTTGATAAAAGAACACACTCTTATAACTTATTGATTAATTTAGTCAATATAGTTTGTGATAAATTTTATGAAGCCCATTGCACCAATATAGATGCCGATGTCATAATGGCATTGTACGATGCCAAGGAATTACGTTTTTTCACGTTAAATATTTTCATTTATTTTTTATTTATCACCATAGTTTTTAAAATATTTTGATTAATATAATTATTTTATTTACGAAATGGGATAATGAACCTTACGAATTTAATGGTTTCTTACACTTTAACATGTTTCAATATAATCATTGTTTATAACTGAAAATTAGGACAAATTAGATTAAAAACTAAGATTAAAGCAAATAGTATCTTAAATAAATTCTCGATTAAAAAATTTATTTTAATAAGAAACTTGCAGAGGTAGAATATTTTAGGCCTAACCTGGAGATTTGAAAAAAAGTTTTCTACCCCGGTCCGAGATTTGAAATTTTTTTTGGCCTAGCCCGCATTTTTATTTTTGAACATCAACCCGGCCCTTTTTAAAATTACATTATTTTGAATAATTTTGTAAATTGTTTCAAGGGAAAATTGAAAATATGAGCAGTAAATGAATATTAATCGACGCTTTATATGTTTTTTCCAATTGATTATTTGGTATAAATTAAAATAAAATTTTTAAATTAGCCCATAAAATCATACCAATTTTGACCCTGTCTCTGATTTTAATACAATTATACTCAAAAAATTCAAAGATTTATTATGTATTTTATTTAAATAAAAACATATATCAGAGAAAATTTTCACATCAAATGGTGCGGGAATAACGATAGGTTCAGAACATCTCTCAACATTACCACACTAAATAAAACACACCGCATAGATGACGAATCGAAATCTCTCGTGGATATAGTGTCCAACGATAATAGCTATCTTTTGGAAGGAGATTTTCGGAAAGATAAAACTTACAAAGGAATTTTTATGGTTTTATTATTTTCGTCATTATTTTTGAGTTAAAATTTTTAAATTCTTCCAGAATTATGGACCATATTTTTAACATAGTTTAAGCCCGCCCACACCCTCCCTACCAATTTTATGAGTAAATTTATGATCTCAATCTGTTTTACTGCAGGAATTTACTGTTAATCCGATTTGAAAATTAGAAATGTTATATTGAATAATTTCAAAAAATCTCCCATAAACTTTTTAACTATTTATCACATTAAAAGAGTAAACTTCTATTTGTTTATATAATTAAAACATATGGTAATAATAATCTCACCCCCCCCCCCCCTCCTTCCAATTCTTTTCTGTTTATATCATTATAACAAAAAAAAATTTTAAAATTATTTAATTTAGGATTTAGGAAGGAAAGATCTCACGAGGGAAAAAATTTATTTGGTGTGCCAAATTATCAGAAAAGGTTGTGTTACTTCTGTTTTATAGAATATTATAATATATATTTTTTGTTTCTTCTAGGCGTCATGGAGATGAAAGATGGGGATATTAAAAAATTAACAACAGATATACGTAGACCATACGTTGTGGCAGGTAATCTATTACAAATACAATTGACTTTCTTTATTATTTACGAATATTTATGTATAAATATAAGGGTTAAGGTTCAAGGGCTTAAGATTTTTTGCAAAAATTAAAAGGGTTCATTCGGATTAAGAAATTTATTACGAAATTTAATAAGATTAGTAATTATAAAATAAATAAAATTTTAAGTTTAACGTGGGATCGTATTCGGTTAAAATAATGGAAACTATTAAAGTCATATTAACTCTCAAAGTAAAATAAAATGGACAGTCCATCTTATTTAGTGATTAGTATACAACGAATACGGAAGGATAGGGAAGAATTTGTGTATAAATTTTCAAATAGAATTCTGCTTGATACATAATAAACTATTTTTAGAAAGAATTATATTATAATAATTTTTTTTATAACGATTGGAAGAAATATTTATATCGCTGAATTTTTTATTTTTAATCATTCTATTATAGTTTAATTTTGTTAATAATAGCTGTGTTTATTATAATATTTAGATATTTCAAGACTTAAAGAGATATTTTGAAATAAAACTAATTAAAAACTATCTTTTATTTAAGTTAACATTAAATATTGTGTTATTTTATACTAGAAAAATGAGATTTTGAAGAGTAATTTTTTAATTCTATTATTTATTCTAACATAGGCATCGTATAAAAGATTTTTGAATGCTGGAATTGTATAAATAAATAGAACTACATTGAAATCAATTTACGAAGAAGATGTTCTTTACTATTTTTGTTTTTTAAAATTGAAAATATGATAAATATTGGACATTATACCTGTCAAGTTTTAGCCTAAATTATAAAAAATATCATATCCTTTAAAATAAAGTAAAATACATAAAAGATAAAGCCAAAAAAATGTAAGACATAAAAATTTGAATATTTCAAATCGCACTTTGAAATCATAGATTATTCTAAACTCTTCATGCATATGGAAATATATACTATATTTTTTACATATTCTAATTTTAAAGCCCTAGAGATAACGGATTATATTAACGGCACTTTATTTTGCGACGGTGAAACTCAACATTTCGTTCCCTTTTTACAGTTAAAAATTTGCCTTAAAATATACAGTGAAACATCCAAAGATGACCACACCTCTCTCTATTGACCAAAACATAACCACCTCTTAGTGATCATCTTATGGAGGTTTCACAACTGTAATTTTTTTTTTGTAAAATTAAATAATTATATTTTATATATTTTATTATTTACTCAAATAATTTTAAAATACCAAAAAAAAACAATCCCAACTAATATACTATGCTAGATGCACCGACAAAGAATCGATCGAAACAGTTATTAGAAAGGCTATACATGCCAAGGAAATTAATCATAAAGGTCAAGGTTTTTGGGTTTCCGTACGCTTGTTGAATGAGGACATCGAAGAGGTAAACTATAATGTTTTTATTAGCGGTCAACGCTCGGTGACAGACTGAAAACTAGGCCGATTATTAAAAAACGGGTTATTGTTTTAGTGTTGTCTTTGCAAATCAGTCCGGTCTTTGACTTTCGTTACATGTCATCACATCTGGTTGACATTTTAAAAGAACTTATATTTTTTTTATCTCTCAAAAACATTTCATTTTATAAATATACCATTAAAAACTATTTAAGCATCATTTTAAATTGTATTAGTTAGAATGCTCTGTTTTTATATATTATAATATAAATATGAATCCGATTATCTTAGATTAATGTTTATACATTTATTTATTCACGTTTTATAATCTATTTTTTCGAAAATCGTCAAAACTGCATTTATAAAAATGGTTTTTAATGCTAAATTTTTCAAGAACAAATAATTATAATCAGATAAATTTAAAGTATAATTTACAATTCTTATTTATTCTATTTTGATTTTTTTATCAGTGCGAATATAATTAGATAATGTAATGATTACAAAGTATAACTAGCAGGAAAATATTTAATTTGATAAATTTCTATATTTTCTAATATAGCATAAATCAGGATCAGGTTCTTTTTAGATTTAAATATATATAATTATATATTTGTGCCAAGAATTAATTTTTCTTAATTATATATTGCAGACTCAGTATGATAATGTGGTTAAGATACAAAAGATGGGATTTCCAGATATTATAATGCCAGGTTGTTCTTAAATATCAAAAATTTTTGCTGATTTTTTGCCATTTACTGTTAATTAAGCTAAGCTCGCCTAAATTATAGAAAAATAAATTAAATATCTTAAGCTCACTCAAACATTGATACAAATTATAATGTATTTTTTTTAAATATTTAATTCGTTATTAAAATTATTAAAGGTGATTTTAGAAATGATTTGTACATAACTTTACAGCAAGGGGAATTTTCGAGATACATAATGGGCAAAGTTTTGGATAAGAATATCGAGGTAGCCATTAGTTTGCATGACAATTCTGGATGTCTTATACAGGTATTGATATTTTATTTAATGTTTTTAAAAAAGATAATCTACATCTGCAGCTAAACCTTAATTAAGGCCGTTAAATCACTTGAGTGCAATTAATGATTGTACTATGACTTAGTCTGTTTCCAAACAATGCGTCATATTTTTATTGCATAACAGGCTTTAAAATATGGAAATCTTTTGATTTTTATATTTACATTATGCAGATTGTCTAGGTAAATTATTATCGTATGTTGTTGAATGTAAAAATAAATATGTTAAAATCGTGATTATGAATTTGTTTTAAAAAAAGTCTTATTTAGAAAAACTTTATATTATTTAAATTTATAATTGAAGGTATTCTAAGTTAAACTTATTTGTAAATTTCACTTAGGCTAAGGCCATACCAAAGTGTTTGAACTTTTTATAAATTAAATAGAGCGTCTTGTATTCATTATAAAAAAAGTGTAAATATATCATTATAAATTATATATGGTAGTTTTAAATATATTATAAATAAATACACCTATTTAAAATATGGAAATTATTCCAAATTAATAAAACTTGTAGGCAGACGACATGGGCATAGCCAGGACTTTTATAGGAGGAGAGGTGGCATTATTAGGTTGGTCTTTACCCATAAATTTTATTGGGGCTTTTTAAGTCCACATATTTCAGGCTTTGGCTGGAAGGGAGGGGGTGCACATGGGGATTTTTTATGAATGATATTCACGGGAACAGGCAATTTTTAAAGCGAGTAATTTCCCGCTTTTCCCGTCTCATTTGTACTCAAATGTCAGACGACAGGTGCGTTACCAGGAATTTGCTGTGGTGGGGGAGGGGATAATTAAATTAGATAAAATTATTATTTAAAAATATCAAGCATAAATTTATTAGGACTAATAACTATTTCTAATACACAATTTTAAATTAATGTGAGTTATAAAAAATTTAATATATAAACCGGCATATAAAAAGTATAAAATAATTGTGACTTAAAAAATATTAAACGGATATAATCGGCGGCATATGAAAAACTATAAAATAAATGTGAATTATTATATATTAAGTGAATATAACTACCATATGAATCACTATAAAATAAATGACCCAATATAGAAATTTAAATTTTTTGAGCCTTTAAAATTTATATATAAAGTAAAAATTTAAATGTTGGAAATTAATACACAAGTTTCTTAGGAATAATTGTATTTTAAATGTATAATAACTTATAAAGTATTCATGAAGAAATATATAACACATTAAAATAATCGCACAAAAAATATTATTAAGAAGCATATTATATATTTATTATGTAAAATCCAGTCTTCGTTGGGACTAATTTTTCAATTATCTCACCAGGGCTTGGCGTCAAATGTCTATGAATGTTCAAAAGGGCCAAACCATTCAATCTACTTTCAGAAGCTGTACTTCTTAGGTATATTTTTATTCTTCCAAAGAAGAGTATGGTCTCTCATAAGTTGCAGTACTAATGGGAAGAGTTGCTAATATATAATAATTTTAATACATAAAAAATAATTTAAAAGATGTTTGAAATGATGCAAGACATTTATTTTATAATACTCCTCTACTGACCATATATTAATCTTTGGACGATGAGTTTGCCTTGCTGAAAGTCGAGGGAGACAAATATTAAACTCAACAATAACATAAATTATGAAATTCTTCATCTACATTAGCCCTAATTTCCTTGAGTTTTAATAAAATGCTCACCTCTATTCTCATCGTCTCAATCAAGTCAATGGCCTATTTTTGAAAAGCATTACATAAATTAGTTGTATAATTAAATAATTTATTAATACATTCTAATGAGAGCTGTTACTGCTTGATGGCGAAGACTCCATCTCCGTTGGACCAGCTTTTTGCAATTTCTTTCTCCTTGTTGGATAAGGAGTTTAAGAAATAATTCTGCTTAAAATATATCATTGGTATCTTTAATACCTTTTTAAGAAATATATGTCTTTCTTCTAGGCTAATTATAAAATGTTATCAAGTTATTTGTACTTTTTTGCTTTTTTGTAGGATGACTAGGATTTCCATCATCATCATGTCCATAATTTTATTTGACTAGAAATTTGAAAATGATAAATAAATATTACGCCACTATAAATTTTAAAATAATAGATATATATTACGCCAAGGAAAACTTGAAATCGAAATTAATTTATAAAATAACTTAGAAAATGAATGTAAATGTAATTAAATATATTTAAAAAGCCAAAGATAGGAATAAATATTATAAAATATAAATTAATATAAACATTAATATTTTTTAAAAATATATCCGGCATCTCATATTTTGGCTTTGGGGGGATTTGTTCCCCCCCCCCCCGCTGCGTACGCGCCTGTCAAACGACATTCTCGAACCCTTGATATGGCCTTATCTTACATATCTCTACAAATTATTATATTTATTCAATTTTGACTAACATGACCAAAAGCGGGGCTTTTTATTATGCAAATCAACAAGACAATATACTTTTTAAAAGTGAATAAAACAAAATGTGAATTTTTTGGTCAACAGGCCTCACGTCAAATAGAAATAAATAATGTTTTGGTAATATTGTACCTTATCAACCAGGATGATAAAATAAATAAGATTCGCCTATCCTTTAAAAAAAGGCTTAATTTTTAAATTTCTGATAAAAAAAGAGTTAGATAAATGTATAAATTATAATGATCAGAATTTAAATCAAATCAATTTTTTACACCAAGATGTTTTATATGCACATGTATGTTAGGGTGTCTTTACTATCGGTGCAACTTGTACCCAGCCATTCGATACATATAAATCAGCTGTTTATTATCACGAGGACAAACCAAAATGGGCCGAAAGTTTAAAGGTCTACCTTCTTTTTTTTCGCGCCAATTGTTTAATAAAAGAAAACATATCTTTAAACGTAATAACTTTGATATCATGTTTTTATTCATTTATGTCGTCAGTCATAAATTAAAATATATTGTTATATAATTAAAGTTATTTAATAAGCATTAAATTGTGAAATTTAAGATATAGGCAATGTTTTTACAGATTATTAAACTTTATTGTTCCTTATATTATAATGTCTGTGTAAAGATATAATAAAAAAGAAAGAAGAAAAGAAAAAACATAGAAAAAATTTTTTTGTCATATTGTTAACAATGTTTTAGATAATAAAATGTTGTAGTTTCCAATTATTTATTTATTTGATCACCAACAGATAACGATACCGATCGAGATTTTTTACGAATGCCACATTAGATTTACTTTTAAGCACAGATGCTCCAATGAAGGTTAACATAATTAATTAAAATAACATATTTCAAGGTTTGTTTTTTAAAATTTCGAAGAAAATCCTTATAATGCGAGGATTGCTATTGGTGTTTTTCCAATACGCTTAATTTGATTTATGAATAAATATTTAAAAAAATCACTCACTTTTAGCTTGTCCTAATAATACCCGTAATAAAAACCAGTGGAAATTAAAATTTATGGGAAAAGAAAAAAGAATCTTATCGATGTTATTAATTGTATTAACTCTATAATAGAGGTCTCCCCGCCCACACCCGCCCATCTAAATGGGCGAGCGGAGGGCGGGTAAAAAATTTTTTGAGAATGGGCAGGCAGGTGGGTTAAATTTTTTTTTAAACTATGGGCGGGTTAAGAAATTTAAAATTTTTGTTCAAAAACAAACTAAAGAAAATCATAAGTAATTATGATCAATAACAATATTTCTTTTTTTATTGTACCAATCGTTTTTTAAGTGAAGAACACTTTACTAGTTTTTTGACATCTTTATCTAATTTTTCCCACCATATATAATGTCTCGTAATGGATTTCATTGTTGTTATACCCGGATGTCCCGTATGCAATATATGCTAAACTCTTTTTTGAAGTGAGTACGGAATGATTAATTTGCCATTCCAAAATAAAATACCGTCATCATTTTTTATTTCATCTATTCTTGTTCTAAAAGCTTGTAAATCTGGTGCTTGATTTTGTATATTTGTTCCATTTCTTTTCTTGATAGAGTTAATGTGTCATAAGTAAGATTTCTTATATATTTCACTGTTTTATTTTTACTTTTCTATCATCATTTTTCTCTATTGAATTTCGCGATTAAGCATCTGCAATTATATTATTAGCGCCATTCTTGTACATTATATTATAATCATAAGCAGATAATTTATAAACCCAACGTAATAATCTTTGGTTTGTTAATGAGCTTAAATCTCTGTTATTACCATATATCTTTATTAAAGGTTTGTGGTCTGTTCAAATTTTAAATTTTCGTCCATATAAATAGTTATGAGATTTTCCTACGCCGTTTATTATTGCTTTTGCTTCTTTGTCTATTCTAGAATAATTCTTTTCAGCGTCTTGTAAAGTTCTTGAGGTGTAAGCTATTAGAAATTCGTTACCATTATCATATTTTTGCATGAATACAGCTCCAAATCCTTGATTAGATGCACCTGTTTCTAATATTAACTCGAGGTCTGGTTTATAAAACTGTATAGTATTTTGTTCTATTACTATTCCGAATAGCATGAAACGATTACGAAAATAGCACGGTATTTTATTTTGGAATGGCAGATTAATCTTCGTACTCACTTCAAAAAAGAGTTTTACATATATTGCATACGAGACATCCGGATCTCACTTGTGGATGAGGATATACTTCAAACGGATATCCTACTTTGGTGGAAACGAGAAGAGATTTGCCAAAGCTACCAAGATTAGCAAGAAAAATATTGGCAATTCCTGCAAACTAGTGCTTCTTCTGAACGAGGATTTAGCATTACTGTAAGGTTTTTATAACAAAGAAGAACGTGTTTGAATCCAGAAAATGTCGATTCATTATTATTTTTGCATCATAATTACATATAATATAAATTTTATATTTATATTTTTTTCATAAATATTCTATTTGATCAAATAAATTAATTCGTAATGCTGAAATATTTTTATTAGATGCTTAAAAAATTGAAAGAATGGCCATTATTAAATTTTATAAGTGGACTTGGGTTAAAATTTTTTATAAATAATGGGCGAACGGGTAAAAAATTCTAGACTAATGGGCGGGCGAACGGGCGGGTAAGGAATTTTAGACAAATGGGCAGGGCGGGCGGGTACATATTTTTGAAAACTATGGGCGGGTTAAATTTTTGACATTGGGTGGGCGCTTTTGGTCCAAAAACCCGCCCAATGCAGACCTCTGCTCAATAATGCCTCATCTGGCTTTATTTAAAAAATATTTATACTATAATTTGATCATTGAAAATCTATCTTTACCCAGAATAAGCCTATGGAAATTATTTGGAGTCATATCCTCCGTATAATTATGCAGGTTTTTTTTCCAAATGCCAATAAACCTTGTAACTCAGGTATATTAATATGGAGCGATAGCTTGCCTATTTTTAATTAAAAGAAAATTCTGAAATTACTTCCTACTACGTAAGGGGTGTTCTGATTAAATATTTATTAAGTAAATTAAATACATAAAAAAATTAGTCAATAATAAATAAATAAAATAAAAAAAAAATGAGGGAGCAACATATTTAATCTCATTTGATCGATTTAAATTTAATTGTTCGTAATTATCGTATTAATTAATAGACAAAAAAATGTTAATCGTGATACTGAATTCTCATAACGTTTATTGATGTGCCTATATTTATACAACAGTTGCAATAATCAAGAAGAATTAATTTTAATATGATCTATTTATATTTAAATCATTCTATTTAATGTAATTAATTAAGGTTAAGGGACTCATGATTAAATTTTTAAGATCATAACCCTAAAATATCAATGTTTATTTGTGATGTGCTTACTATAATTATTATTAGTAGTAGGTAATCATGGTACGATTTAATAGCAAGTATGAAATTAAGTAAGAATTTAGAAATCTGTTATAAGGTAATAAGGTATCGAAAAAACATAACTTTAAACGTCAGCAATTGTTGGCAAGATGGCCGTAAATCGTGACTAACAATGTTAATTCGCATCTGTTTGAAGCAGTATTGTTGTCGGGTTGTATCTGAGACCCATTTCTTCTAATGTTTTTGCAATCAATTCAATCAAAACCAATTTTTTTTTAATGATAAGAAGGGTTTAACGAAGCTTCGGCCTGATATACTTTGTCTAGATCGTGGTAAATTAGATTATTCGGCAATTGCCTTAGGACATAACCTATTGGTTCGATTTCCATATACTTTATATTTGGTAAATAGGGAGATTATTGCACCTCCCCCAATGGACTAAGTTAGAAGTGTTATAAGGATAGGTTTTTACAAGGAAGCGGAGGTACTTTTTGACAAAGGATTGAACCTCGTTATTATTCTTAGCTTTCGATCCAAGATCATTACCATAGTAAAACGAAGAGAGCACCAAGGTTTTGAAAAGCCTTAAGGAACTAGAAAGTTGACTTGAAGACCAAATATTCATAAAATACTTATACCTAAATCTGACAGCAACCTTTTTAATCTTGATATATCACCAGTTCCTTCTTTCGTATCCTGAATTACCCCTAAGCATTTTCTACTTGTAACTTCCTTAATCTTCAAATTATCTATAATTAAGTTATTGTGTAGTAAAGAATAAAAGACACTCATCACTTTGGTTTTATCAGTATTTAGAATCAGTCCAAAATTCTTCGCCTTTATAATTATTCCGTTTATTATATATTGTAAGGTAGGCATAGATGTGGCTGTTATATATAATTAGCAAAATATTTAAAGGCATCTTTTTTTTACCTCTTTATAATATTTATAATTCAATTAAAGAGCATGAGACATAAATTACAACCTTGTTTTGTCTCATTTATGCTGGTATAATTTGGACTAAATAGGTTTGGTAAATATTTATAAGAAGATTTAGCAATTTTTTATCGACCCTAATCTACCTTAAAAATTTCCACAAGCTGATTGTATAATTGAGTTAAAAGCTCTTCTAAAGTCTAAGCAATAAAGTTGACGATTTTATACTAAGGATCTTTCCATTAACATTTTTAGAACTCTGATACTCCACAGCATTTTTTAGTTTACATTACACTCCTTCTCAACAATATAAATTAGAAATGGGCAAGCTCTAGTTCCACCCTTTTGTCTATTAAGATACTTGAGTTAAAAGGTTTGTTGACATCCTTGAAAAAAGCGCATAATTAAACAGATGATCGACCATACAATTCAGGTGCTTATTTTGAGAAAATCTCAAAACATTTACCAATTTTTTGACAATCCTTAATCATATTAAATAGCCAAAGATAGAAATGAGAAACCTTTTGCGATATCTTTCCTCAAATTAGTAGATCATCTGCAGACTGCCATTAATGACGGTTCCCATAATCTTCTTATATACAAGGTTTATTACATATAATACAAACATTATTTTTGCCTGCAGTGCATTTTTTATTATAAATTTAAAAGTTGATATTTTTATTTAAATTAGCATTTATTTTACAGATAATTAAATTTATATTCATATTTATCCATGCTTAAAATAAATAAAGATTGATCATAAGAAATACGATCCAAGTAAGGTTGACTACTTGGAACTTCCTTATATACACGAACATTTGATAAATACAACCACATCTGACATTAAAAATAGCGGTTCAAGATTCAACTTTGTCAATACCAAATACGAGCTCGATAATATTCTCCCCAAGAATAGTAATCCATTTGAGCCAACTATTAATTATAACAGTGCAAATAGTACCGATTTGGGTTTAAGTCCTCATAGTAAGAAAAATTACTCCCTCACTTGGAAGCGTCAAAAAAAGAAGAGTAGTTCTTCCCCTCAATCTAAAGTGGACATTGGCGCTGGTCCAGAAAATAGTTATAAAATGGATCATATATTATGTACGTTTAACTGTTTTTATTTATTTGAAAAATATTTTAATTAGAGTTGCTAAAATTTATGAAGCTTATTTTCTTTAAAGACGATTGCCGGTTTACGTTTTATAATATATTAAAAACATGCAAGATATATATTTTTTTCGATATAGATTGGATGGCAATTTTTTTATAGATTTAGGACCGTGGCTCCCAGCGGCCTAAATTTTTATGGAAGTATATATCGAAAAAATCTCAAACTCAAAATATACTATATTATAATGTTATGCGTAGTATTCAGCAATAACGTTGATAATTTAATGATGTTTATCATTTATTCTATTTACTACAAAGTATGGTTTGAATATGAAATATTTCTCATTTCCTGATTTTTTTTAAAAACTTTTCTTATTTTTTTAAATTCATATTATAATTGTGATATTCAATGGAAAAAAAAGGAAAAACATACAGGGAAATATAACAAAAATATTTCTTGGGGCATGAACCTGTCTATGTTTTATTGATTCTGTTCGCGAACTGATCAAGCCGGCTCCGCATATAGAAATTCTTTGATATTATAGTTTCAATAAAATCAATTTCAAATCGACATGACTGCTCTCTTATCCAATCACAATTACAAAATAATTAGTGAATTATTAATATTAAAATTTTATATCATTAAGCTCAAAGTCCAACTATAAAAAAACCGAAAGCTCCTACTTCCCCATCATTTTCATCGAATATTGAGCATGATTATACTTCGAATCCTGCTTTAAATGGATATTTGACTGCCTTAGATGGTAGCGAAAGGAAGTGCGGGCTAACATTGAGCCTCAAGGATTCTTTTAGGATATGCTCTTTACTTTGTTCCACTAAATTGACTCAAAATGGTAATAATAAATATACCGAAATATTATTTAATATAATTTCTATTTAAAATAATAAATATATAATTACCCGCCTTCAAATATATTCATCCATTCGCAATTATGCGTTTTTAAATTCTATAAAAATATTACATAATTTAAACCAAATATTTTTATTTTATATTATAGTGCACATGTTAAAGAATATAAAATTTTATTAATTTATACAAAAAAATGTTAAATAACATTCAACAATATAAAATCGTTTCATAAATTTCCTTTATTTACATTTCTACATAAATAATTGTTCATTTTAATTTATCATTTATAAATTATCGTCCATTTGGATTTAATAACTGGTTGCACCTTTAAAAGTGTTTATTCTATCAGGATTGTCATGATACTTCAACATGATTCCAATGTTTTAGAATTTCATATATCTTTTATAGTTTTTAGATTCTTCCTAGCAGGATATATATTAAATGTTTCTTTTTTTCATGATATTCCTTAAAGTTTCGATTGAATTTAAATCAGGGGTCGATGCTGACGATTCAGTGTATTATTAATCCCTCTGTCAGAAAACCACACTCAAGTCAGTGTCCCGTATTTATGAAATACACTTGCACCATCCTGAAATAAGGCGTGTATTATGGGAACGATGTTAATCTAATGTCTCATAATATTTTAAAGCGTTTGTTTTAAAAAATATTTAAGCCTGGTCTAGCCCGAGTTTTTAAAATTATATGGGCTGAGCTTACTAGCCAGGTTCTCGGTTCGACCTGCAGGTTTCTTATACACTATATTCAAAAATAAAAATATTTGGTTTAAATTAAGTATTATTATTTTGAACGAAATTTTAAAATTATTAAAATAAAAAATTGTGGGACGGGTGTATTTGGTTAGTATATAAAGTCACTTGTCCAAAATGAAATGCTTTTTCTATTGATTAAGCGTTTAACTATAAAATGTTTTTTTAGATTGTTAAATATAATTATAAAACTGACATTAATATAAGATTGCGTTTAAAATCATTTTTAATTCTTCAAACTAATACGTTCAAAAAGCGAAAAAGTTTTCCTTCAACACCCTGTTTTTTTAGATGAGCATCGTTTAAATTACTCTATTTCCCCTCTTTATTTAAATTATATATATAATTTTCAGAGGATTTGTTGGGTCTATTAGCATGGAAATCGAATCCCACAAACAAGGCATTGGAAAAAATTTTAAGCGCTTTGCCCAAAATCAGGGGAGAGGAAATTGTCAAGTATCTACCCGATACATTAGACGCGCTATTTGGCATTCTAGTTTCTAACCAAGGAAATTACACTGAATTCGAAAACGCGAAAAATTCACAAAACAAAATATCGGATTCGATGTTTGAATGTAGTAACAAAGATTTTTACGATATTCTAGGAGTAAAAGAGGATAAAAATGAAATCGGAAACGATGATGATAGGTCGTTATATATTCCTAACAATGATATTGACGTAAAAGAGTCGGCGGTCAAAAGGAACTTTTCCACAAAGTATTATTCAATTTTAACAGATATTTTTTAACATATCCAATATGGAAGTGTGCAAATCATCCTATTCTATGAAACTCATCCGAAGCGCCTATCTAATCATAACTTATTAAATATTTATTTTAAATCCTATATAATCGATTAGAAATGTATTAAGTTATTTGTTTATTTATTTATTTTTATTGATATATCGGATTGGATTGCGCAATTTTAAAATATCGAGCGATAACTGATATTTGATATTAAAAGAATAATCCGCGATCTTATATTTAAAAATCGGTACATCCATAGTATTAGTAAATAATTCAAAAGTGCTTTAATTTATTTGGACTATTTTGCTAAAGGTATGAATGAATGCTCATAATATTTTTTTATTTTTCTTTAAATAGTGAATCTGACGTAACTAAGCGCCACCCCACTACAGAGATACAGAGTATGGATTTGCTAGTATTTGATTCTCTTGTTTTTATCATAAGCTTAGTATCCGACCGGAAATACATGTACTTCAAAAGCGTTTTGGATATTTATATCAAGGAAAATTTTAGTTCTACACTAATTCACAGGTAATTTATATTTAGTTCACTGCCTACATCCTTTGCTACTATCTTTGGTATTTATCTGGCAATGATTATTACCTATTCAAGTTAAAAATTACCCCTAATTACAAAATCATCGCTTAATTATTGAATTCCTTCTCCCTTTCGCTCAATTTTACAAGAGGGCTATTTAAAAAATAACACTGTCATTTTAGCATATAACAACTTTATTTTTTATATCGTCACCTGAGAATTAGAATATTCTATCTCCACTTTTTGTTATTTTACAAGGGTAGCAAAAAATTAAGAGTATCGGTTAACTTGAAATTTTTTTATAAATATTTCGGATTTTTTAATGTAAATAGAATAATATAATTATAAAAATTTATATATAAAAAAAGTCATTTTTGACAAAAAGTGGATATAGAATAACCTAATTCTCAGGCGACGTTATATAAAAATCATTTAATTTTAATTAATTCTGTTGATCTAAAGATAGGATTAAAAGTGGAGCTTGAATGTTATTAGCAATCAAGTGACAATACATATTTCTTTATACCTAATAATTTGTGTTATTTCTTAAAATCAGTTTGTCTTTTTTAATATTTAGAAAGCTGATAAAAATTCTTATAGCTTACATCGAAGCCGGTATTCAGAGTCCCTCTCCCAATTTCTCAAAATCTAATCTTAATAAATCTCACTCGTTTAATCATGCTTCCGAAATGGAAAAATCTAACGTCACGGAGAGTTTTGACGAGAATAATACGAGGGTGAAAGTCTTGAGAAATATTTCTCACGACAGTTTACTCAAGATTATGAAATGCCTGGAGTATTTGATCCGTTTTTCCATTCGATCTTTCCTATTGTATTCCGCCCTTAATTCCGAGATGTGTGATTATGAATCTTTTTCGGGTGATATCAAATGTCTTTTGAACGCTTTGGCTCAGTTCATGTCCATAGGTAACCCAATAGCTCTTAGCGATGAAATTAATATTACGAGCTCGGATAGTCAACGTTGTGGTAGCGTAAACGAGCCTAACTATGGTAGTAAGCTTGAACTTGTCGCCCTGTCATCCCACTATGATACCTCATTGATTAGTAGCGACTCCATTTCCATCAAGATTAGAAAGGAAGAGAACGCCGATTTTTCTTCTTTTCAAATTAATCAATTCAACAGATTTTCTGCTCAATCTCAGACTTCTCTCCGTTTTTTTAGCTCTTCTAAAAACGAGGCAAACGACGAAAACAAGTTGTTCCTCGCCAAAGCATTGCTCATACAAGCCTCTATCCTTAAATATTTGCCCGTGGCTATTGGGGAGATCTTTAAAATTTATCGGGACACGTACGACTTGACATTCAGACTCTTGTCGGTGCTTAAATCGTTACCGCTGACTACCCTGAGACGTCAGAGATTGGATTTTTATGTGATTCTAATGAATCAAGATTCCGAGGGTGAATGCCAACTGCTAAACGATAGAAGAGCTTTTGGACTATTTTTGAGTCAAGAAATCATCCCGTTGGCCCTAAATACGATCGAATATAAATCCTCGAGTATTGACGGTAGAGAATTTAATGAAGAGTACGACGGATTTTTTAAGGACTCTGACTGCTTATCCAAGTTATTAAACCGAACCCTTGAAATATTGTCTAAGAAATACGAACACGATGAAAAGTTTTTTTATTCACTATTTATCTTAGATCGTTCAGAATCCCTCGAATTTAACCCAAATGAGATCAACCTTTTCAAGGAAAAGGTAAAGTTGCTCGAGCATAACGACGCGATGACATGGGCCAGGATTCATAGCTCCATTGTTATACGAGTTATAGTGCCATATTTGGAATCTTACAATGTTAAGAACACTAATTTACCCGGGAAAATGGATTTATTTAGGCAGTATCTTGTAATAGCCTTAGGTATGATGCATTTGACCACGGAACAACATTTTAATTTGTTGATTGATAACATAATTACATCGAAAAATTTGTCGGCAGATTTTAATATGCTGAACTATTTGGCTAACTTAGTAGATTTAACCGATTTTTTAGCGGAAATAATGTGTACTATATTAACGATATATATACCTTCGTATTTTCTTAACAATGATGAAGTTTTTGATAATAATTTTCCTTTCCCCCAAGAATGGGTATCCATATATTATAAAACTGATTTTATATGCCTTAAAATTTTAGTTATGATCAGTAAAACTGTTCAAAAATGGTACACAGCCATTCCTTATTCCTTTAAGAATGAGATTTCCACTCCGAATTTGTCTCAAAATACCGAAAACTCTAGCGAAACCTTGTTTTTAATGTTCCTTAAACCCACATGGGAACTTTTGTTTCACGCTTTTCTCTCTTTTTTATCGCATCATTACACGTCTTTAATTCAAAATATTAGCGAAAACGATGAATATATAAATGACCACCCGGCCACATTGGACACTAATCATACACTCATTGTTGCTACTCAAGAGATATATAACCTTTGGAAGGCCATACCCACACACCTCAAACCTTATTTCATAATTGATAAGGGTATCATGGATTATATGCTCACTGTCACAATAATAGCTAACCATTTTGAAATAAGGGAGATTTTGATTACAATATTTTACGACGTTTTACGCTTAACTAGTCAGAATACTAGTTCCTTAAATTTTTATACGTCTCGTTCTTCCTTCATCTTTAACTCGCAGTCTTCCACATGTTTTGATCAAAATAATAGCGGCGCTGCGTTTATGGGTTGGAATGATAATCGATTGGATTTAGACGCGAAAACAACCCTGGATAGCTATTTTAAGCGATCGTTTTTTGAAACAATCGAAAACACTCTCGAAACAGATGGGTACATAAACTTTCGCGCCTTTAAAGCCCTAATCTTGAACTTTAGGGCGTCTTTTAGACAAACTATTCAACACGAATTATCTCGGGAACCTAGAGATTTTGCCAATCACGATTCAACCATCTTATATTTGGATACCGTAGATAAATTGATAGACCTACTCCTAGAGTATCATAGTTGTAAAATATCTAGCAAGTCAAATTCTGGTCTTATAGATGAGTTATGCATATCCAAGCGTAAAATACCAATAATATCAGACTCTGAAAGTCAATGTCTGGTAGATCTGATGCAATTTAACAAGGATATGGGGAGGATCAAGGCTTACACTCACTTTTTAGACAAGTTAGTCATCTTGCACATCAGTCAAGAAGATTTTGGGGAAGCAGGGTTTGCGTTAAAACTCAAAGCTGATTTATTAGATTGGAGCGAAAATGAATATGGTAAAATAAAATTTAAAGGAATATTATTATAATATCTTAAATGATTTTGTCTAAAGCTGAGATATAAAAAAAATTGGACTTGATTTTTTTTAAATTTAACATACTCTCTCCTGAGTAACTGAAAAGAAATAATTCATTTTTTTTAATATTAAGAGAAAAAAAATAAGATTTATCCATTTAAAAGAAAATCTCAAATTCATGAGGTAAAATGTGTTTTAAACCTCTTAAAAGAATCTCTTCATCTTCAATAATTGATAATTTAATTTTAAAAAAAAATTATTATTGTCCATAAAATAAAAATTGACATTTAAAAACTAAAAACAATTTTGAAATTCAAAATCAAAAGCAACCAGCCAATTTTGATACATCAATAACTGGTTATAATTTTTACATTTATATTTATGTATACTATGCCTATTAGGAGAGATTAAGGACCATGATGAAAAGGTTGAATTATATAGAACGGTTATAGATTATTTTACCAAGGGGAAACTCTGGGAGCCCGCAATAAATATGTGCAACGAAATCCTGAGCTATTACGGAACAATCAACGCCTTCAACTATTCTCAGATCTCTCGTTGGCATCATGTTGTAGCTTCCCTGTATGATTCCATATTGACCCAGCTGAGGCCCGAAATTGAGTATTACAGGGTAGCCTACATAGGCAATGGCTATACCTCGCGAACCCATAAAGTTATTTCATATATTTTTTAATTAAGAAATCAATGTTAACTCTTATCTTTTCATCAAGAATTAAAATAAGGTCAGAACCTTGATTCTAGCGACGGAAAATATTGTAAGCTATAAATTCTTTAATCTTATAAGACAATATCTTTCCTATCTTTTATATAACATAATTATAGTAAAACATCCAACAGTGGCAGCTCTAAATAACCATTATTGTTGATTAAAGTGTATATCAAATTTATCTAACATTTATTATGTTATTAGTTATACATGTATATTTTTTTTCTTGTCACATGATCTCTTTATATTGATTAATCTAAAAAGGATCTTTCTAATATTTTTTGAAACCATTTCCGGTACATGTTGTTGATATTGATATCTTTTTTAAATATAAATTGACCCCCCCCCTCTTCCATTATTTATATGTGTTTTTTTTTATATTCAGAAAATCCTAGATAATTTTTAAATAATATCGATCACAAGAGCAATTAAGCAGTCATTTTTAATATTAAAAAAACCCTATAGAGAATAAAATTCTACACGAGGAACTTCATATATTAATCGGAGGGGGGGAGGGGGGGGAGGATAATGTTCCATTAAAAATGTCAGCAATATGTGATAGCAAATTATTCTGGTTTTAGTTAATCAACCTGCCATTTTTCAATATTTAAAACGGCTATCTCTAAGATAATGATCCACACACATAACAAGACAAACTAAAAAGGTATATGTTACCAGCAATTTATCGATCGGTATTTGGGTTTTATTTAAGCGGTCATTATTTAATATTTTTAGAAATTAATCTAAAACAATATTCTAAACATCTCATAAAAATCGAAATAAAAATGTTTATGCTATTTACTCGTTAAACTGACAATAAGAGGACTTCATGTCATAAGCTTCTCAGATGGACATATCTTTAATTAACTAGCAATGCAGTTAGAATTACGCTATTTAGTCATATCGGGATTGAGTTATAAGAAAAGTGGTAGGAATAATTAATATAAAAGTTTAGGAAAATAAATTCTAAGCAATAAGAATTTTTAAGGTTGGTCTATGTTAGTATCCGACCCGAGTATGAAATATTTTTTTGTCAGAATCCTGCTAGGCCCAAATAAAATTTTTACTCAATATCTAGTCCTAGAGAATATCTTAAAAGTCCAACTAAAAGATAGCAACTATATATTAGAGGTTTTTAAAAGTTACTGTTTCTTTGAATTTGAACTACTTTTTCAAACCACATATTCACATTTAACTAGGGATAACGCTGATCCTATTAGAAGTTTATCAACCTATGTTTATTTTTTTCGCCTCTTTTAACAGAAAATATATAGTATTTTTTTAAATAGTTATATTTATATGTTTAGGAATGTAAAATTAAAAAATCATTTGTAAATGCATGCTCTCCTTTGAATATTATCTCACTTTATATTTTATAAATACTATTTTAATCAGAACAAATGTTATGTGTATCGAGGCAAACCGTTTGAAAGACTATCCGAATTCATACATCGAATGCAGGAAATTAAGCCTGATGCTAAAGTATGTTATTAATCATTTCTTTACCATGAACATACATTTTGAGCTATAATGAAAAAAATTATAAAATATCTTATATAACAATTTTATACAATTATATTTATAAGCTTGTTACCACAGCCGATTTATCAATATCTTCCGAAATGATGAATTCGAACGAAAAATGTAATAATTTAAAAAAATAAAAATATTAACGAAATAATATTTTTATCCATTTTATATAATTATGTAAAGATTTGCATATCAATAAAGTTACTCCTATCAATAAACAAAACTACATATTCGATCAAAAATTGATTCCCGAACAAATTATCTCGTGAGTGTTCAGGCATATTAATTTCCCTATTTATTTTAAAAAAATAAATTTTAAATTTCCATTATACTGGTCTGAGTTTATCTACTAAGATTTAGAGGTCTGCGATGAACGTGTTATAAAATTTATACATTGCGCGGGCGAGTTAAAATATTTGTAAAACAGCTGACGGGTGAGTGAATTTCAAATATTTTACAAAAAAGTAAGAATATATTAAAATAAAATGAATAAACACCACAAACCAACAAGTCAACTAGTTTTAAACATTGGATAGATGGGCTAGACAAAATTATAAATAAATGAGTTGGCGTAAATATACACCCATTGTAGATTAATACTCTAATTAGACCCTGATTAAAACATTTTAACATATAAATTATGGTTTGAAATCCATTTAATTTTAATTTGCAAACATTTAGATATTACAAAACGAACGAAGTTCAAGAATTTGAATATACGCGGCCCATTATTAAAGCCGAAGCGGGTGTTAAAGGAGAAACGGATTTTGCCGTGAAGCCTATTTATATATTTTATTTGTTTGGTATTTTTGATCATAAATTCATCAACCTTTGTTATTGCAATTTTATAAATATCTTTATTTGATTTTAAAAAAATGATAGTCGTTGCATTTTATCATTAAAAATAGTTAAGAATCTACATGAAATTGAAATAATTTATAATATAATATAGAATATATGGGTAGAAAAAACGTATTTGTTAACTTCGCATTCCTTTCCAGGCATTCTAAGATTTTCTCCCATATATCATTCTCATACGGTATATTTATTATAATTTAATGTACCTTTATTGTATATATTATGTTATATTTATTATATATAATTGTTGGGATGAGTTAAAAACGTGATTTAAATTTTGAGACTTGATTTTTTTTTTGATTAACATTATAAGAAGGAGAGAGAAGAAACTGCTTAAACATTCAAAATTAATTTTTTGTTTTTTTTAATGTAAAGGAGGTGGAAGTGACCCCTACGATTTTTCATCACCCATTTTAAGTATTTCATTCAATTTTATTTTATAAAAGGTTTTACTCAGTCCCCTTGATAACGCTATTGAAATCATGGAGGAAACTAACAAAAAATTGAAGGCTGGCGTTAAACACCATCTATTACACGACAATGTCGTTGTAGACGACGGTAAATTATCCACTATTGACAATAGCAAAAGACTTTCCTCGCCTAATAACCCATCATCCATTAATACTCTAAGTTTGCTCTTGAACGGAATAGTAGATCCTGCTGTCATGGGCGGTATTGCTAATTATGAAAAGGTTATCATCGATTTTTAATTGATTAATAAATAAGTAAATTTTTCTAGTATGTATTTTGGGATTTATTTAGTGAAGTTAAGCATTTTCAAAAAAGAACGAATTAGTTCGCGTTCGCTTATCATCGGCAAAAAATCAAATATTTTAACATTTTCATCCCATAATCCAAAACATTTTGTATTTAACTTTGAACTTATTAGGCTGGAAGCGACGTTCACTATATCTGAAGATGGTATGGCAGTGTACATTTCATGAATAAAGATTATTTCTGGAAATTTATTAAAAATAGCTAATATATTATAAAATATTTAGATAGACAATCGTTCGGATTTTTTTAACTTATTTTTCATCAAAAAAAGAGATTTCTACTAGTTTCCTTAAATATGATAATAATTTATTAAAGCCTTATCCAAGACTATCCGAGTTATGCCAGATGTATGATTTAAAATTCCATTTTAGCCGATTTTTAAAAATAGCTATCTCTGTATTTTATTTAGAAAAAATATTATGCAAGTCTATAGATGGCACAAAGGTTTTGACATCTAACAAAATCTCGAGGCTTAGGAAATATTATCTAGCTAAAACATTGAGTTAGCCGTGTTTAAGAATCTACTCAATTGAAGCGATTTTTCATCACTACCACATGTATTGTGGAGGAAATACTATACTGATCTTCAATACATATGCTTAAATCTAAAAAGATGCAAATATAAGTATAATTGATTTGATAACGATAAACTTTAATCAATCCCATCTATTATCGCGTTTAGTAGGGGTTGACAATAAATTAGACATGCATTTTTTTGATAATATGATCGTTAATTGTAGGCGCTAAATAACCAAAATGCAAAGTGCGTTGACTATTAACTCTATATCTATTCCAATATATGAATATAATTTTTTTTAATGTTTGTTTTTAAAGTGTTAAAATTGAAATGCTTTTTAGGCATGGCAAAGATATGCGATCTGAGTCCGATTCGTATATAAGATATTTCTATCTATAAAATAATTTATAATCCTAAACATAATAAACTATAAAACCATATTGGAGTAAAATATTAACCAGAAAATAAATTTGATTAAAAATGTTTGAAGGAAGCGAATAAGAAAATAAAATCCTTCATTAAAAAAAATAAAAAATTTTAAATTTAAAAAGATCACATATTTTTTAACAAGAGCGTAAAAACGAACGCGTTCATAAAAAACAAATCTTATTCACGAACCCCTTTCAAACTAAACGCTTTTGTTTACAACACTCACTTCATTTATTTAAAAATATTGGTATGATATTATGATACGAAATTAATCTAGCGTCTTTTTAGGAAAAATAATACTATATATAACATACCTACTTTTCAATGATATTGCAGTTTTTTTTCACAATGTAGGCTTTTCTGAACGAAGAGTATTATCGTGCTCACCCCATGGAAGAAGAAAAAATCAGAAAACTAAAGACGCTCATTTTATCTCAAGTAAAAAAATTTATAACAGGTGGATCGGGCCAGGTTCTAGCCTTTAATGTTTTATTAACTGGGCCGAGTTAAATATTTTTTTAAAAAATAAAACCATTGTATAAAATTATTATTCTTATTTTATTAAAACTTCACTTACAATTTACGACGCCATATTGCTCTTTATAGATTTATTAATTTTTCATTTATGAATCCATATATTTATGATTTGATTTACTTATGCCAATTCATGATTCCGTTTATTCATTTTATTTCGGGCTACGGCTAAAAATAAGCTCACGTTTACAGCTTTTAATTTTTTTTTATAATTTTATAATTCAGGGGTCATGGATAGTAAATTAAGTTAATATCAATAAAAATTAATTAGTAATCAAAACTAAGAGAATTTATTAAATCTTTATTGTTTCAAATTTATAATAAAAAAATGGTGCCATTATATTTTTCGTATCTATATAAATTTCTTTATCAATAAATTTCGAATTATAAGAAAATTACATATCAGACGAAACAAAATTACCACTTTATCACAATGCAAAATATATTATGATTTTAAGAAATTTAAATAATTGACTAAAATTTATGTATAAATTTATAAAGAAAAATATATAATTTCAGCTAATTACTTATTCTTGTGCAAATATACACCATCCTCACTTATAACATTCAATATTAAATTTTGACATGTGATTTAAATTACCAGTCTAAATCATCTTATATGACTATCCATAAGCAATTATAAAAAAATCGATGATATACTTAATAGGTATTTAGAATTGTTCCAGTCCAGGATTGGGTAAGCATTTATTTAACCTTGAACATCTTTGGCCGGGATGGGCTCATAATATCTGCATTCAGGTCTGAATTGATCTCTACTAGGTCGGCCTGAAAGCCCGGTCAGGACAGGAAAAAGAATTTTGGGCCTAGCCGGACAAAATTTTCATTCAAAATATTTTTACGGGCTGAAGTTTTGAAAATATTTATAAAACTGATAATTAGGCAAATTTATGTCGTTTTCCTTCGTAAAAAATAATTCCGAGCTAGACAACATACAAAATATATTTTACTGGAGGCTGGGCCGAAACACACAATAGAAAATTTATACGAGCAAGTTCAGGCCTTTGTCCTGACTTCTTTTGTAAATGCCAATAGAATAGCTGTAGTCTCATGTGTAGTAATTCTAATTGTCATTTACTAACCTTAAATTTTTTATAAAACATTTATTGTATATATTAAATTAAATATTATTCAATTATTGTCCCTATTTCTGTCTTCTGCTATTCAAATTTAAAAATTATTTAACTCTCATGTATTATAAAAAAAAAGATACCTTTATTAGAGATGGGAATCGTTATACACGGTATAAAATCACACGAGAGTTTGAAATTGTTTCATCAAAGAATGGAGGAATGTTTTTTGAAGCACAAACAACATATCTTGGAACATTATTCAGGCATTAAAGTTTTGTTTATTAAATTTTTTACAAATATAAAATTTCTTTGATAATTAAATACCATATTTGATCATGAGTTAACAAGGATATAATTATCCTCAAACTTTTTCTATACTGAATTTTTTTATTCATTCTCTACTTAATTCTTACCATATATTTTGTTATAACACTTAACGATTTACCATTATATTTAAGGCACCGAATGATCTTATTGTTTCAGCTCTTAGACTTTTACTCTTGAAAACTTATACCAAAGACCCTTGCGAATCGTATAGAAACGTGTCCCCTTTATTAGATTCTTGCCTTGGAACTATTGAGATCAATTCGCAAAATATAGTGAATCAACATTTTTCTCCTCTATCATGTTACAGCCCAAACCGTAATAGACATTACTTCCAGAGGTTAATTACATTCATGAATATCAATTTAATTCTCTCGTTTATTTACCTTTAAGAATTTCGACTCAATCTAATATCCGAGCTTTCGCGAAACCGAACGATGACCAGATGCCACCGTTCTCTCCCATCGTTTATAATCACAACCCCTCTAATTTTTGTTTCTCAAATCTGTCTAACTTCAAGAATAAAAATATTAAAAATAGCAAAGCCTTAATTAGGGTAAGATCTACGGGCAAAAAATTGCTTAATAATTTGACGATTCTCTCAAACAATATGGCAGATTCCAGTATCCAATTAGACAATCATCAATTAAAAACTCCTTTAAATCAAACTGAAAATATCAATTTTATTGAGAATGAAAAAATTAACGTTAATAATCTTGATATATTTAACGATATTGTTACTACGGAGTGGTACGACCAGGAACTAAGGAAAACATATTACGATATTAATACCATGAAAATTGTGTTGAGAGAACAAGCTCTGTTAAATATACCAACTTCGCCTCATGACGTAAATTTTATTTATTAGATCAAGATAGCATTTATCTTATTGTTTAAATGGTCAATGATGTATATATATATACTAACCCAACGTCCATTCGCAATTTTTTATTTTAAAATTTTGATAAAAAATAGATACACAATTTAAACTAAATATTTTTTTTAATGTAGTGTATTTTATATTGAAAGAATATTAAATTATAAAATTTTTATTAATTTATATTAAGAATACATTTAAAGATAAAATATAAAAGCTTTATTCATAAATAATTATATATCCTATAAAAAGGGTGGTAAAATCTATACTTATCTTAATAAATTTTAAATTATTTTTTTTTCTAATTAATCCTCTGCACATATAATATTTTTAAATTAAAAGCTATATGATTTGTGTCTTATAACCAGAAATTATTTTATTGTGCTTAAATTTAGTCACTGCTATTCAGGAAAATATTAGTCTCCTAGATCTTAATTCTCTTTAACTATTCTAAAAGAAGTTCTTATAAGACATATTCTAGGGAGATCGTGTGGTTGGATAGTAGGTTATAAATTTGATTAGCGTTAGATAGAAAGAGGTGTTTATTATTCATCTACAATTTCTGTATTGTTTTTCTTTTCTTTTCGTGTAAATATAAAGATTTTAAATATTCTTATAAATTTGTCTGTTTTTTATTCTGAAATTTAAAAATAAAATATTCTTATTTTTTAAATAGTACAAATTTTATATGATTATGATATTTTACGTAATTTGTTAAAATTCTTATTCATGTGTTGAATAAGTTTTAAAAAAATCAACTTATTTCTTTAATCTCTTTTTTAGCTTTAATTTTTTTTAGTTTAGGTTTTATTTTTTTAAATAACTTTTGATTTTTTTCTAAGTAATAGTACAAATTTTATATGATTATGATATTTTACGTAATTTGTTAAAATTCTTATTCATGTGTTGAATAAGTTTTAAAAAAATCAACTTATTTTCTTTAATCTCTTTTATAGCTTTAATTTTTTTTTAATTTAGGTTTTATTTTTTTAAATAAATTTTGATTTTTTTCTAAGTTTTAAAATTATTCTTTATTAGATAGATTATTATGGATTTATAAAATATATTAAGATTAAACTTATTAAAACGGTAACGAACCGATATCAATTTTTCCCATAACCGAAATGGAGTTTAATTAGTGGTTATCCTATATATATTTTAAAAAAAATTTAATTCAAATATCAATATATATTTTAAAATAATAATTTAAATATAGCAACCCATTGCTAAAAGAAACATTCGAGATTTGCAAAGATTCCATTCAACCCCTACTTGTAAATCTCTAGACGTCATAAACCATACTTTACCTAAACGACAATATTCTTCTCATCCTATCCCTCGCAATGATATCTCTAACGATAAAAATGGTATAAATTACTTCTTTTTCAACATTTTTAATCTTTTCTGATATAACCAGCAAGATTTGGCATATATATTTTTTTAAAATTGTTATTATAATTAGTGATGCATTAATATCAAATCTATCCAACGATTTATATTTTTAATAATATCGGTTATCTACCAATCACTTTGAATTGGCCGATCCGGTATATCAAAATCAGATAATAAAACAAATTATGCATGGTTTAAAAATACATTTGATATTATTTTTCTTCTATAAATAATAATTATACCCTAAATAAATATTTAAAGATATTTATTAATAATCACTCCGCTGGTATGATTAAAAATTGGACCAGCTGAAATCAGAGATCGGCCGATATCGATAAATCTCTTATAATACTTAACGTATTAAATTGTAATTTACAATTCTCATTAATAATGAAGCGTGAGCTTGAACCAATTATTTATGCTGTTACTTAAAAGCTAGTTATTTTCTTGAAAATCAGTTAAGGAAATAAATATAAAATTAAAATTAGAATACCCCTTTACATTCATTTACCTCCCCCTTCCCTTTTATTATATTGAAAATAATGTTTTCACAATCTTCTATCCCTTCAATTTCAAAGTCTATTATACCCCCCCCTCTTGGTAGAGGTGCCTGACTACTTCTAGTATATTAAGATCTCTGAAAAAATTCAAGTCTTTAGCCATATTTAAATTTGATTTTTTGTAAAGTGCAATTTAATTTTTTTAAATCTGTACAATCAATACCTTTCTCCATACACTTATATTAAAATAGCCTGCTCAACGCCCAATTTTATGTTATAAAAACATCACACATTTGGCAGCCATTTGCAAAGATACCATTCATTTTAATCATTTTAAAATTAAATATTTCATTGTTATAATATAAAAATAAATAAATTAAATATAAATATCTATATTAAAAATTTTTTATAATAATAATATATAAGAAAATAAATTTAACAAAAAAATTTCCGCAAGATAGAGCATTTAATTTTTTTTATATAACAAAAATAACGGCTTAATTTACAACAGAATATGATAATTTATTTTATAATATAAATGACATAAATTTAAAATTCATGTAAAAGTTTTTTTTGTTCAGCAGAATAAAGATGTCTCTTTATCACATGTATAAGCATTTATTTATGTATTTTTTGAATTACATTCTTAAATTTTCTTAAACCTTTGACAATCTTTATTTAATGAAAATTAAGTTAAATCTGAATAATAATATAATATCACGAGTAAAAATTTAATTCTATAATTTTAATTAATATTATTTTTTAATTTACAGACATAATGTTAATATCTCTGACTTTTTTTCTATTATTTTTATTCCTGATCACTTTATTATTATATAAAATAGTATGTGACTTTGAATCAAAATGATTATCATTTTTTTAAATTATTTAGGTTTCCAATTAATAATAAAAAGTAATTGGAACGGTGTAGTTATAGATAGTTTTTTAAACTTCATATGCTAGATCAGGAAGATCCCTTATTTGCAATCAATTAAACTCATAGTTCCTAGATATAAAAACATATTATTTCATCATATTGAGAGAAAAGAAAGCTTTAATTTAAAAATAAATATGATAAATTAATTAATTAAAAATATAATAATCTTAGGCCAATATTTTTTCATTATATAAAACATAATTTCCTTTTTTATAAACTTATGTTTTCATGAATTATATGGGGTTATTTTTATTTTTCATATTGTAATTTATCAATTCTTCCAAAAAAATTAAAAAACTTTTTCATTAATTTTAAATTTATATATTTTTATATTATAATATATATATTCATATTCTGTTTTAAATTAAACCGCTATTCTTGTTATATAAAAAATATACAATTGAATTTTAAAAAATTCTTCATCTTGCGGAAATTTTCTTATTACTTTATTTCCTTATTATATATTATTATAAAAGTTGTTTAATATATATAATTAATTTTTTACATTCATTTATATATGAATTTTTAAACAATAGTTAATTATTTTTATATTCAATAAGTCATTCATTCATATATACCCCCTTCCCCCTCCTCCTTTTTTTTCTTCTAAAATGGGTGTCAAGCATTTGTAATGCCTGCCATAAAAATATAACCTTGACCCAAGCTATTTGTTTTTATAAACATGGGCCCAGGTCCATGTATAAACTCTGGTAAACCCCCTTCAAATGAAATTTAGTACAACAAAATTGAAACAAGCCCCATTGTAACTCAAAATATTTATCCTGATTTTTATGATAATTTTTTAAAGTGGGAAAAGCCACCAACCTTAATCCACCTACCCCTTAAATCAAGGTCTTTAATTTCTAATTTTTTAACAACACTTATTATGGAAGTTAATTCAAATTTAAATTCCCTTAAAGCTTGGGAGAATCTTTTAACCTTTCCTTTAAAAGTCTTAATTAAACCTGCAGATAAAAATAAAAAAACTATTTTGCATGAATGTATAAAATATAAAATAGACCATTTTTATGACTTAGAAATGGAAAATTACGTTCCTGATATAAGGGCTACATCTGATTTTGCCCATAAATGCAAAATTATATCAAAAAAATAGACCAACGTGACGTATGTGGAGCTCTTAAATTAGCTTCATCTAATGATAAATTGGCTCCATTTGATGAACATACTTTTACTTTATTAAAAGAATTGCACCCTCAGGCTTTTCCTGAAAATCTTCCCATCCCTATAAAATCTAATTTAATCGAAATAGGTAAGGAAGAAATAATTAAAACAGTTTTATCTTTTAATAAAAACTCTGCAGGGGAAATGACGGTTTTCGCCCCTCTTATTTCCAATTTTTAATTAATCCTAAAAACCTTATCAAGATTCATTTGTAAATTCATTGGTATTACTTAGTGAAAATATATTGAACAATGATTTACCTAGTCAAGTTCACCAAATTCTTTTTGGCGTAAGATTAATTGCTTTTTCTAAGCCTGATGGTGGAGTTCGGCCAATCGCAATAGGGTCTTTTTTTAGGAGACTATTAGCTAAGATAATCGTTGAGCGCATCAAACCTGATACTTCAAAAATGTTCCAAACATATCAACTAGGCTTTGGTCCTAAAGGGGGATGCGAAATAGCCTCTCACTCTCTTCGCATATATATATATCGAAGATCCTCCTCCAGACGCCGTAGTCTGTAAGCTTGATTTTAAAAATGCTTTTAATTCTTTATCCAGAAAAGCATTTTTGAACATTTTTTATGAAAAATTCCCAGTTTATGCAAGATTTATTGAACAGTCTTATGGCTGTAGAACCCCTCTCAACTTCGGGGAATATACAATTCCATCTGACGAAGGTATTCAACAAGGAGACCCTTTGGGCCCTCTAATCTTTAGTTTAGGTATACATAACCTAGTTTATTGTCTAAAATCCTTTTTTAATTTAGATTTAAACATATGGTATCTAGATGATGGTACCATTTGCGGACCTTCTAAAAATATTCTTGCAGCGATAGAATATAGAATATATAGAGAAGAATTCTCTAAACATAGGCCTTACTCTAAATAAAGCTAAATCTGAAATATGCTTTTTAAATTCAAATACTCTCAAAGTCCAAGGGTTTAAAATCATTAAAAAAAGTGAAATTAATCTTCTAGGTTCACCTTTAAGCAATTTTTCCAACTGTGAGGTGTTCGTGGAAAAATTTTTCGAAGGCTTATTAGGACTTGAAACTATTTTAAAAGAAATTCCTCCACACCAGAGCTTTTTTCTTTTAAAAAAATATTTATTTTTACCAAAGATTTTACATATTTTTAGATCTTCTTCCTTTTTTTTAAATAATGAAATTATTAATCGTGTTCATGAATTTTTTAGAAGTTTATTAGAAAATATTTTAAATATTAAATTGGAAGATATTAATGGGGGTTTCTCACAATTACCCTCGAAAATGGGTGGTTTAGATTTATATCCTTTAAATCTTATATCTCTTTCCTCATTTTTGGCATCGCGTTTGATGAATAACGCCATGATATCTTCTTTTATCTCTCCTAAAGATAACCTTTTAAACTCAGCCTTGACAGCCTGGGTATCTTTAGCTCCACCTGAAGACATGGTCTAAATTGTATATATAGTCAAGGCAGGCATGCAAGGCATGCAGTAATTAATAGCTATTAGCCGTTCTCTTACCAGGGCTCGAATACCAAACATCCTGGAGCCTACAAATTAATCATTAGATGATGGCTTAAGACCAGATGGCTTAACTTCCGTGCCTTGGTCTTTAAGGAAATCCTTAAGTTGAGACTTCACATGCGTATCTTCTTTCCCAAAAAATTTAAACTCCAATCCGGTTGATATAGCCGAGAAAAAAAAACAATGAAATATTCCAAATTCACAAATTATATTTTTACACCGATCGTTATCTCTTCCCTTGGACATATGCCAAGCGGAACTTTAAAGTTCTTAAAAAATATAGGCGATAAGACAAGAGCCCTTACATCAGAACCAAAAGAATTCTATTTTTTAAAACAAAACCTACAAATCACTATTTTAAAATATAATTACTCATGTTTTTTGGGAACTTGTAGTCCCACCTCCGTTTTTATATAATATTGTTTTATTTTATATTTGATATGTTAATTTTAATATTAATTGTATTTCTATATATATTTTTAATTTAAAAATAAATGACATTAGTTTTAAAAAAAAAATATGAAATATTTAATCTTAAAATCATTATAAACATAGACTTATTAAATAAAGGTTGCTTATTTGCAAATGGCCATTATTTTCGGCACGTTTTTTTAATCGTTGATAAGTGTGAATTAATATAAATCTAAACCTTTCTCAATAGTTTTTAAATAAGCTTTAAAAAATATTAGTCAGGTTGCTGAAGATTTGTATTTCTCTATAATCTTTTTCAATTAAACTTAAAGAAAATAATATTTAAGTTTTTCTGTAACTCATAAAAATTTATAAGATTGGTAGTCTAATTTAGTTATAATGAAGGTCACGGTCCGGACTGAACCGGACCGGACCAGGGTCCTTAAGAAAAAGATCGATCCAGACCCTAAAACATATTTTTTTTAAACCTAATTTAATTTGCTTTATCATTTTATTAAATATAAGAGTATTATATAAACAATAAAATTTATCCAATGGTATTGAAGAAAGTGATTTTGTGCTTGTGGAGGGAATATTAAAATTAAGAGTAGATTGTGTTTTTTAGATATTTTCATTTTCATCATTTTCATCATTAGAGTATATATTTTATGTTTTATCAGATGTCTGCCTAAGGTACCTAATTATTTTATTAAGAATAATCAAGTTATTTTGACAATGAATTATTCAGACAGTTTCTTAAGAAAAAATAGAACTATATAAATAATAATCAAAATATTTTAATAATAATACTGCTTATTTTGATTAATTTTTTGCTTAAAAAATTATAAACAATTATTTTGTTACTTGTTGCTGACGATACATTAAATTTGGTACTGCAGTGAACACATACTCATGTTTTTTATTGGAACTATAAGTAAAATGCTTCTTGGACAAACTTCTGGTTTTCATATTGTAAAATAAAAATTAACAAAATCTAAAATAACTCATCTAGAAAAATATCATAAAATAAAATATACAAAAAAATTATATTAATTGAATAGAAAAGCAAACTTAAATAATAATAAGGTCCGGACCGTTAAAAATAAAAAGACCGGTCCGGACCACGGTCCTTAAAAAAGAGACCTTCACTAGTTATAATATACATCATACCCACCAGTATATTACATAAATAGCAGATCACAGACCGGTCCTTTATTTAATTTTTTTTAAATACTCGGGTCGGGGCTAAGAAAAAATTTTAAATACCCAAGCCTGGCCTAAAAAAATTTTTTTAAATACCCTGGCCGAGCCGAATATATTAAATCGTCATTATTAACAATAAAAATTAAAAATAAATATAATATATTTTAAAAAATCCAGGATGGGCCTGTAAATGTAAAACTCGGATCGGACCGTGCAAATGGTACCTCAGGTCTTTGATATATAAAATAAACTTTAAAAAAATTTATGACCAAAAAAGAAGCTTAATAATAATTTTAAATGTTGAGAATTAAATTTAAAATAGACAATCTGATTCACATTTATAAGTGTTTTTAATATCGTGTTACCACCTGTGAATGCAAGGTTAGAGGAATGAAAATATATGTCCACACCAACTATCCTGAACCGAACATATCCTAATTTTTTGGGGTTCAACGCCCTAATATTTTCAATACTTTTCCATTTTATTTACGCCTCGTATATGTTGTGTTAAATATTTATCAAGTCTTTCTCCTAATTTTATGCCATATTTTATATTATTTTCTTCATTTTTAATAATTTATGTATTACGTCTATCTTGCCTATAGTGAAAATTATGCTAAAAAAATTAATTTAAAAAAAAACTAGATGAACAAGTGAATCAAACCATTTACTATAATGAACCGTAATTGTACTCAAATGTTTATATCAATTCGCTAAAAGTAGCGATCCGTTTTTTATTTTTTTATAACGGAGTTTTTTTAATTTCATGGATTTAAAAAATAATATTTTAAAACATTTTAATTTTTAGTTGCTTGAGTACAGTTTTTTTTTATAAATGGAATATTTACAAAAATGTTGATATAAATGTATACAATAAGTTCTAGTTTAATTTTTTATTATTATTGTCGAAAGACCAATTCTTTCAAATTTTGATTAAAATAGTTGTTTGAGTAAATTTAGTTCATATGTATTAGTACGAATAAATGCCTGACAAGAAAAATACCCAGATTATATATAAACCCCAAAATACTCCTAATTTGTTTCCAATTGATTAAATGTTCATCATTTTTGTTATTAGATCATAACACACTTTTAGAAGTTCCCGTGACAGATTATTTAAGTCCACCTATTCCATCGAAGTCAAAATCTTCAAAACGCGAATCTCCTCATATTATAGACCAAATTTTAACTAATTCATTCGACCAACTAAAAATAAATGGGTGTCAGAATCATATGTTTAATAAAGTATAATTGCATCTTATAATATTTTAGTCATTTCAAAATATTTATCATATTGAAAATTATATTATTTAAAATAATATTGTTTTTTATGATTATAGATATCCTTTCATTCGAATCTTAACAATGATAATATTACTTCTGACATCAAAAATCTAAACATTGACAGCAAAAACAATATACCTTGTCAAAACGGTATGCAATTAGAGTCAAACATGAAACTACTAAATAATACACAAAATGATCAAATAAATAAATATTCAATAAAAGATTTGAAAAAAATATTCGACATTTAAAATTACTCAAAATTATAGTGATTATTATTTGTTATGAATTTTATATATTTATAAATGATCACGAATGCTTATATCTTAATTAAAATCTTTTTTAAGATATAATTTACTCATTTCAATCTTACATAAATGAATACACAGAGACCATCTTAAAAAATTTTTTTATACAAACTAATAAATTATTTCAAGACTATGTTGTAGCATATTTATTTTTTGGTCTCGTTCGGGATTTTTTAGCCCGGCTCAGGTATTTATTCTTGATTATTTTACGGCCCTGGGGATTTTTGAAATTTCGTTATTTTTAATAATTTTTGCAAATTTTTCACAATTAAATGAATATTAAACTTTATTATTTGATTTTTCAACTTATTAATTAATTTTATTTTTTATGAAAAAAAGTTTAAATCTATAAGACCTAGATTTTTAGAATCATGTCGTCTTTTGGCCAGGGCCACCTGCAGGTATTTGATATAATCCAAAATTAATAACTAATATCGAAATATAAAATGAGTGAAAAAAATTATCGAATAATTTAATATTTGCAGTTGTAGAAATAGATTAATTCAATATTCATTAGTCTAATAACGACAAAAATTAATTAAATCATCATATTTTTGTATTGGAGTTTGCGTGATATTTATTAATTAAACTATTATGAATAAATGGTAAGTCGCACCACTAGAACCTATTTATTTAACATAGGCGTTTTAAATTAGAATCAGCCCTTCCCTTACCCTATGTTTAGCCCACAAACTTATGAAGGGTTCCTTATTTTTCCTCTATATTAAATATCCAGTGATGGATTTGAGGAAATCCTAGCGTATCTCTGTTGCTTGTCAACACTAGAGGGTTTAGCGCCGAAATCATGTAGAATAAATTAGGTTTTTCAAAAAAATATAATTTATAAAAAGCAACAGGCCATTTCCATACAGAACTATTTTTGGAAGGTGGCTTCCTAGGCATGTTTCCAGCATTTTTTTAAAAATAATTTCTCAAATCAATATTTATTTTTGTATAATATTTTAAAAAACCATGTAGTTTACGAATCTAAGCTATTTAATCGTTAATAAAAAATAAATAACCAATTCGATAAAATATTAATAAAAGAAAATTTTAATGTAAACATGTCTAGGAAACCGCCTTGAAAATAAAACGTTTTGTTTGAAAATGGCCTGATAAACAAAAATTAAATTTTGCCATAATTTTATTTAGAATTAGTCCCTAATAAACTGTTTAATAACAAGGTCCTCCCCAATTGAAATTGAGAGAATGTCTTCGAGTTTTATCTTGGCAAGTCAGTTTCGGGTTCTAATATTGAAATTCGTAAGAAAAAATAACTACAATTATTCCATATTTTTTTAAAACGATAGTTTGATGTGAAGTGTTTTATTTTTAACAGCTCTTTCATTTATTATCGTCTTCTCGCTTTTTTATATAATCTAATTAGTAATCTCTAAGGGTGGGACAGGCGCATACGCAGGAATTTGGTATGGGGATAAGGGGGGTGGGATAATAAAATTTTTTAAGAAATATTATTGTTTGTTAAAAATATCAAGCATAAATTTATTAGAACTAATAACTATTTCTAATACACAATTTTAAATTAATGTGAATTATAAAAAAATTATATGTATAAACCGTCATATAAAAAAACTATAAAATAAATGTGAATTAAAAAATATTAAACGGATATAAATGGTGGTATAGAAAAACTATTATAAAGTGAATATAACCATATGAATCACTTAAATGACTAAAAATAGAAATTTGAATTTTTTGACCTTTAAAATTTATATAATAATAAATGTTGGAAATATAAATTTAGGAATAATTGTTGTACGTTATATATTTACATGTAAAATCTAATCTTCGTTGGGATTGAGCTAATTTTTCAATTATCTCATCCTTGCTTGTCATCAAATGCCTATGAATATTCAAAAGATCCAAACCTTTCAATCTACTTTCAGAAGTTGTACTTTTTGGTATTTTTTCATAGACCGGGCCGTATTTTAATTTTTTAAATATACCCGGGCCGGGCCCAAAATTTTTTTTTAAAAAACACCCGTGCGGGACCTGAATTTTTTTTAAAAAAATCCGGGCCGTGTTGTATATTTTAAAACAGCCTATATTTGAAATCGTTATTATTAGGTATAAAAATCAAAAAGAAATATAATTTATTTTTTAAAAATCCGAGCCGGGCCTGAAAATTTTATTTTAAAAAAGCCGGGGCGGGCCTGAAAATCTTTTTTAAAAAACCCGAATCAGGCCGTAAAAAATTTTTAAAAAAAATCCGGCCGTTCCCTGCAAATGGTACCTCTGCAGGCTCTGTTATTCTTCTTAAAAAAGAGAATGTTCTTAGTTTACTAATGGGAAGAGTTGCTAATATATATAAACCCTTTTAATACATTGGAAATATAATCTAAAATGTATTTGAAATGCACATAGCATTTTTTGGGACTATATCAACCATAGTTAATCCTTTAAACATAGTTATTTAGTTAATAAGACATCATAGGACACTTTAACATCTTCATGATATAAATCTAACAAATATTTATTTTTTTTCTATCACCATCTGAAAAAGGTTGGGAATGGTTTTGTGGAAGTAATATTGCAGATTGGTAAGTGCTGCATGATAAATTCTAAACCATTCATTTATTTGGGTTATAAATGTATCTAAGAGAGGACTCATTTGTTTTATAATCTACTGATCCTATATTAATGTTTTAACGATGAGCTTGCCTTGCTGCAAGTCGAGGGAGGCAAATATTAAACACGTATAGTTCTGCTTTTGACTCAACAATAAAATATGAAATTCTTCATCAACATTAGCCCTAATTTTCTTGAATTCTAATAAAATGCTCTCCTCTATTCTCATCTTCTTAATCAAACAATGTCATGTTTTTGAAAAGTATTACATATAATAGTTGTATAATTAAATAATACATTCTAATGAGAAAAAAAATTTGGAATAAGCATTGAATCCAATAATTTTCTTGCTTCTGAGGAAATATTTCTTTCAGGCCATTGTGATTTTTCAATAATAGCAAATAATCGGCTCTTTTAACTCCATAAACGCTGTTACTGTTGATGGCTAGACTCTATCTCGTTGGATAAGCTTGTAATTTCTTTCTCCCTGTTGGACAAGGAGTTTCAGAAATAATTATTATTTGACTAGAAATTTGAAAATGGTAGATAAATATTACGCCACTGAAAATTTGAAAATAATAAGTAAATATCACGCCGGAAAACTTGAAATAGAAATTAAATGATAAAATAACTTGGTAGATGAATGTGATAAATAAATATAATTAAATATTTAATATGAGATAGGAATAAATATAAACAAATATAAATTAATAAAACAAAATAATACTTTTGAAAAATATATCCGGCATCTGCATTTTTTGGCTTTGAGGGGGAGGGGGGATTTGTCCCACTCCTTCCCCTCGCTGCGTACGCGCCTGGGGTGGGAGGGCGCAAAATTTGAAGAGCCCCCTGAAAATTTTGAAAAGAAAGTCATTTCCCAAAATAGTCAAAAAAAATTTTTTGAACTTCCTGAGATTGTAAAGACTAATGACGGCACTGTCTCTTTGTTAGCAGTGGTCCCTACTAAAAAAATTAAGACTTTATTCGAAATCTAAACTTACACACTAAAAAAAATCCTAAACACAAACTAAGAGAAAAACAGAAACAACTCAAACAAACTCTCGAAACTACAAAAATCACAAAGCAGACAAAAATATAACTCACCAATGATCTCTTTATTAATAATTAAATTAAATCAAAATAAAATAAAATAAATTCGTCATTTTAATATAAAAAGAAATTAATTTCATAAAAAAAAAATAATAATAAAAATAAATCCACATATAATATATTACATCTAATTTTTCTATCCAATCAACCTTATTTTAATCGGTTGATTGGCATTTCGCGTAAACAAAAAAAAATATAAAATGTACGTATTTACAAATACGACATGCCACCCCTTTATGGGATCAGGGCATGTCGATAAACAAAAAAAAATTTTTTTTTTTTACACGTATACAAAAATGTTCATGCTCACCTTCATGTTAAATGAATATTCCTCACCCTAAGCCGACATGGGACTGCTCCAAAAATCCCCTGCACTAGTCGTCGGTAGAACCTCAGTAGCTATAGTAGCCATAGCTCTCTGCAACATATCTACCTCTCGATGTCCGCGAGATTCCCCTAATTGTGGCACTCCATCATTATAACTTGGTCTTTTCGGAGGACGCCTATCAGCAGGTATGGCCGGTCTCATAAGAACAGAAGTTGTCGGCTGCTCCACATTCATCTCGTTATATATCTTTTTTTTCCTCATATGGTTTTACCCGCGGATTCTCCGATAACACCCCCATAGGTACACGATCCCTGGGTAGTTGCGTGCATTGATGTCTAAGATGACCCTCTCCCTGACAATTATAACATTTTTTCCGTCTAATCCCATACGTCGGTGGCTGATTTTCCTTCCGGCGTCCTTCTCCCAGGGTCATTATATCGTGCTTCTTGATTAATGTGACCTGGAGATAGAAATCTCCAAGGTCCACAAGTCGTGAGATTGTTTCCATTTCTCGAAGGTGATAAAATATTTGTGGATATCTGGTTCAAGGCTATACGTGGACCTTTTCTTTATTTTGGTTTTCAGAAATTAGTAGTAATGACTTAATTTTTTTGAAAAAAAAACTTTATAACAACAAAAACTTCAATTTAATAAAAAAAAATATAATTTACTGGTTCAAGGATATGCGTTGACCTTTTCTTTATTTTAGTTTACAGAAAATGGTAGTAATGATTTCTTGTAAAAAAAAATTGACTTTATAACAACAAAAACTTCAATTTAATAAAAGAAGTATAATTTAATATTTCGGGGAATTAATTGAAAAATAAAAAAATTTTATAATTTAAAAAACAAATCTTTTACAAAAAAAAAATTTAAATTAACTAAACACTTTTATAATTTAATTTTCGTAAAAAAAAATTCACTTCATACACAAAAACAAAATCA